AGAAACTTCTTATTATAATATTGTTTGTTGCAAACTTTGCATGGCTCGTGAAACAGAAACATGAGAGTATAAGGAGAGCAGCGTGCCGTCATGTTCGTTTTCATTCCTCCAGTTCTCTTGCAACAACTTGACTCCACTGCAACGTTTACTCTGGTAAATGATGCCATAAGAGAAAGGCCTATCATTCAAGGATCCTATTTCCCAGAGTGGCCAACCAGATGCCTCTGGGAAGCCCTCAAGCAGATGTCAGTGCCACAGGAGATGTGAATGGCACAAACTTCACCTGACACCTAAACTACAGGTGATCTCAAAATGGCTCCTGTGCTAGGTTTCAATTCTCTGCTGGTATGTTCCCCATATGCTTTCATTAAGACACTCATAAGTAGGAAAATTTTGGTTCCCACTAATCATTAGATCTCCCTTTTATTATTCTCTGTATCTGATTGCCTCCCCATTGACATAGTCAGCTCAGTGTCAAAGCACTTCTCTAAAGCCCCACTGACACTTGGTACCAGTGTTTTTTTCCAAAAAAATAAATAAATGTTTAGGGGTACTCTCATTTTCCTACTCATATTGAAATGCTGCCCACAATGAGGCGAAACTTAGATTCACAAAATGTTTAGGGGTATGTGTCCCCCTGTGTCCCCCCAGGAAAAACCCACTGCTTGGTACTACAAACATTTCAGTTTCTCAGGTCTGATACAGGAACATCTCCAGTCTCACTTGTTTTGTCCATTGTGGGCTTGTGACTTTTAGTGTTCTCCAGATTTCCTCTGTTCCTCTGTTGACTACTGCATCATCAGCCTGAACCAAATATGATATTGATTTATATGCATTTCTTTAGTTATTTAACATTTTACACCCTTTCCCTTTAATCTCAAAGCACCTTTCAACTCAAAGCTTCATTAAAACGAGAACTGTCCTAGCTTGTCCATCTTTTGCTTCAGTGTTTTGTTTTCAGTTTCCCGTCTGATAGAAATATTTGCTGCTGACAAGCTTACAAAGCAAACCTACAGAAGTAAAGCAGAAGAAACTTTTCCTTACTGAGCAACTCAAAGTACCACTGAGCCTCATTGGCCCATAGGAAGAAGAGAGACCTGCAGAAAATAAGAGTTAGCTGTAGGTGCATGCAGAGCTACGAAAGTGGCTTCAAAACTCTAAATAATGAACAAGCCAAGTTTTGAAACCAGTTTGCTCCTGGCTTGTCCTCACAAAGTGGTTTAAACAAACAATGGTTTCCAAGTTCATATATAGACGTCAACTTGCCAAACCTGAGAGATCAATTAACTCTGGCATCAATATCTTCTGATTGACTCAGATCATAATTGGATCTTATAGGTTAGCAGCTGCCTGTGAGTTTATTTTCTGAAACAACATTGTTTTCCCAGCTTCCATTCTAAACCCCACTACAAAATCACTGACCACTGTTGGGGGGAAAAGCACTATTTCCCCAAGTGAACATTAGACAGGAATTTAGTCCGCTGAATGAACTGGAAAAACCCACTAAATGTAAACTATTGGGTTGGCAAAAATTGCATTCCTGCCACACTCCCGGAATTAAGACGTGGGAGAGACTGTGAGTAGGTCAGCTATGGGTCATATAACTATTAATTTACATGTCTAATCTGCACCACTCTGGTGCAAATATGAGAGCGAGGAGACTTTAAATTGGTCCAAGAGCCAGGGCCTGTGTGTGGTATATACATTTAACAAATGAGTAAAACTGTATTTCGCTGTTTGGCTTGTACAGGTGACTCTGTGCTAGGCTCCAACCTGTGACTGATCTTTGTTCTGAAAGGCGTGGACAGTCAACATCAGGAAGCTTCTAGAAGGGCTGGGAGACTGCTTAATCTAAGATACTTTGAGTGGGAAATCTGGTAAATCTGGATGGATTTCAATCAGTCCTTGATGGGGTTGTACTCCCCTTGAAGGATTAAGTTTAACATTTGGTGGTGCTACTAAACACCTTGCTGGCTGGGAAACCTCAGGTGACAATGATAGCCAGGAGTGCCTTTTACCAGCTTAGATTGGTATGCTACTTGGGAGTCCTGACTGAAGAATTCAAATCTCACCTCAGTTTCAAACCACGCCAGGCCTACTGTAATGTGCTCTGTGTAGGGCTGCCATGGAGGATGTTTCAGAAGCTTCAACAAAATATGGCTCCCAGCCTATTGGTGAGAAGCAGGCAGGCAAAATTTGCCACACCAACTGCATTTCTGGGCCCCGTTCAAAATGCTGATTTTTACCTTTAAAGCCCTGAACACCTGCAATCCCTACAAAGATAAGGCAGGTTCCATGTATCAGGTCTTTTAAGAAGGCAGCTTTTAAAGCCTGTTGGTTCTCGAAAGCTTTTAATTTCGGATTATAAATGAGAGTAGGGATATAGCTCAGTTATTACTGTTTTGTGCTAGCCACTCCTCCTCCAATTATTATTGATGATGACTAGGGGCTTTAAATGGTTTTATGAAAGTAGATTTGCATTTCAAAAAGTTGTAAGGTGTCTTGTGGAGGGTTTTCTCTGAAAGCAGAGAATAACTCTTATAAATAAATGCATAAATACAGTGGTACCTCGGGTTACAGACGCTTCAGGTTACAGACGCTTCAGGTTACAGACTCCACTAACCCAGAAATAGTACCTCGGGTTAAGAACTTTGCTTCAGGATGAGAACAGAAATCGCGTGCTGACGGTGCGGTGGCGGCGGGAGGCCCCATTAGCTAAAGTGGTGCTTCAGGTTAAGAACAGTTTCAGGTTAAGAACGGACCTCTGGAACGAATTAAGTTCTTAACCCGAGGTACCACTGTAAATACCTTCTGGACTCCCTACTCAAGCCCCCCCCCCCATGTTGGTTGCAACCTATGGAACAAGCCAAACAGTCTTCCCCCCCCCCTAAAATTTACTCCTCAGACCCACTACCATCAATTGACTTAATTCTGCACTGCCAGAAGTCGGGGTGAGCAATTGGGCTGTGACCATGGCTAGGAAATGCAGTTTGGAGGCAGCTGGTGTAACAATTTGTAACTGAGGCAGGACACCTCAGTAATCCAGCCTGATCCTCATGTGCCCCCCTTATACTGCAAGGGGTGGAAGAAATCCAGTGAGCAATGAGAGGCGAAAGAGGCTTCTAATGATTTTTTTACTAAAACCCCAACCTGTCAAATGTCTGTTAATGCCTTTTTTAGATTTTCCCTTTCCCACTATATTTTAAATGTCACCACATCTCCTCTAACTGGTGCAGAAAAACCATTCCTTTACTAGCCTTTGCTGAAGAATGACTCCTATTGCTCTGCTTCAGATAAGAGTGCATATATTCATAGCTTAAACAATAATCCAGGAAAGTTGAAATGCACACATCTGCTTCTTCAATTGGCAGTAAGTGGCAGAAGAGCCTAACACTACTGCAGTTAAGACTGAATGACTCTTTTTACCACACACATACCAGAATCAAGAGAGTGGCTCAAAAGTAGGGCTGCAACCTGATTGCGTTTTAACTAATCTTGTGAATTTCAGCTGAGCAATTACATATGTGTACATGCAGACGCAGTATACTTAAATTGAGGAGCATACTTTTGTTGTTCTTAAATTGTTGCATGTATCAGGTATCATCTTAGGAAAGGCAGCACCTCCAATATAAGACAGGATGCCTCTTTTAAGATGAGGTTTGCCCTCTGCTGTTTTTAGAAGTACTTGGAATAAAAATAATTTGCCATTTGTAAAAATCTACTGCCTGGCTAACTGGGGGCATCATTTAGTCAATTAAAAATTGATTAAACACTGTAGCCCGACTCAGGTGGCATGTGCAAGATCAGCCTTAGAGATGTGGGTAAGGGCAGCCCTAGTCCTTTGCATCTTAACATGATAAAATTACTCCACTGGGCAAAGAAGAAAAGGCAAGGTAGTGGAAGAGTGCAGAATAAGCAATAAACAAGTTTTCTGTGCCCTGTCGGAGGAAAAAAATGTCACTGGAGAGTTGACCTTGGGCCAGTGTGGTCCTCTGCCTGCAAAAGCTTAGCCACCCAGGTAATTAACTGACAAAAGAGTAACCTGGGAGCAGGGTTGGGGATAAAGTTCAGAAGCAGGTAGAAAAAGCAAAATTAAAGGATGTTGGAAGAGGATTTGGGCTGTGGACCAGCAGATAGCAGGGTGGCTTTAGCTGTCTTTGCAACCTAACAACCTTAAGGGGCTGAATTTCATGTCATGTTTAGAAATAACCACTATGTGAACTTAACTTTGTTCTAGTTGCACTTTTATTGGTCTCAAAGCTCCAACAAAACACGGCCACCACAATTTCCTGGCAGGGCCCTGTGCTTTTAAAAACTGTGTGGAGCAGAGGTTTATCAAGTAAAGCTTTTCCCACTTAAGAGATATAGCAAATGTTGTGCCTGCTACATTTTTGCCAGGCATACCACTATGGAAATTTAATCAAGGCACTCTGAAATCTACTTTTTTGTATAAAACGATTGATAAAACAGCAGCAGCAGCAGCAACAACAATAGGCATGGCATCCCTGCCAAGTAAAATGAGATAATATGAAACAAACTATACAACATAGCACAAACAGAATAATATTTGTAAAAGTATGTATGCGTGTCCAATTTATATAGGTTTGTCTGATTTAGTTTAGAGGTGATTTTTTAAATTTCATTTTGTTTTATATCCTTACTTGTTTGAGCTTTCAGTATAGGGCAGTAAGAAATATGGGACAGAAATTATTCTTCCTTGTATGTTTTAATAGTTTCTGATTGGGAGGAAAAACATGAGATTAATACTTTTTTTTCATCCCACCATTCCTCTACCTTTTAATCTATTGTCGATCTGCAAAAAAAAAAGGTGCAAGACTAAGAAATTCAGAGAGAGAAATATCCAGTACAAGACGTTCCAGTGTTTCCCTCAGTACATTTTTTGCTCTCAAACAATATGCCAATTCTAATGTCTCAAATACATCTTCTCTCAGCTACATGAGTTATTGGTGTTCACAGATGGCTACAAGTTGCAAAACAGATACAGTAATCCTTTTTATTGAGAAAATAATGTCATGCAGATAATGCAACATTAAGAAGAAAACACAACATACTGCCAAGTAAAGGATATGTACATTATTCAAATGTGTGCTGTTCTCCAAACAACAGTGTCCAAAGTTGGGAAGCTCTTAGAACTGAGGAGCCACATGAGTTTTAGTTGATGGGAAAGCATGTGTCAGAAGAATTGAAATGCACACAATGTAAGCTGAATTGAGCCTACTAAGTATCTACAAATTCCTGGCTGCAATAATTCTTAGCACTGTATGTGCTTCAAATGCATTCTGTCCTTGCAGAGAAGGGAAGCTGGAGATTCCATTCAACAGACATAGGAAGACGTATGGTTGTACCAATAATTAAAATCCTCAAATGAATGGCAGCGGAATTCTAGAGATGATCTTGTCTGCAAAGATGGGAGAGAGATATTTGCTCCAAGTTTTTGACAACAGAATTTACTGCAGTGGGGAAGAACTGTGGGTGAAAAGGGTGTCCAAATTTCAAAAAAAGAGAGACAGGATTCCTGATGGACTTCTTTTCAAGAGCTGTACGGAGGAGTAGAATGGCATTATCATTTTTTCCATATCCTTGCAACATTGCGGGATATTATGTACATTTCAAGAAGCACTGAAGAGCATCTCAGCATGTTTTCTCTCACTTACTTTCTGCTGCTCCTTGTAATATAATAAAAGGGAACTCTCTACTCCATCTAAGATATACGTAAGCTCCATGTTCATCTGAAGCTTACACGTCTCCCTTTTTTGTTCTTTTGTTTGCATGGAACTGTGGAAAGCGGGATCCTAGGTGTGGTTGTGCTTTCCCTCTAAGATGCTTCTTGAAACCTGCCAAGAGGCAACTGGGTTCTCTTCAGATCTCCTACAGCAACAGAAGCTCTACCCCTTTTCAGATTATGGTTTCCCTATGCTTAGTCTGGAGCAGAGAGAACCACCATGGATGCCCTCCAGAGGTTGTTGCACGGCCAGTGGCAAAGATGAGAACATAAGTTGGCTGCTCCAGACCTAGAGGCTAAAGTATCCAAATTTAGTTCAGATTGTGTATTTTGGGTGAGACACAATCTCTCAGTGAATATTACCTATCTGTGTTTGGTGAATAAACACAGTGTCCAAATGGCCTTGAGTCAATCCTATGCTCCTCTGATCTGAAACATTATAAAATAACCTCAGGCCTAGGCAGTCACAAAATACTTAGCAACCTGCCCAACCTCTATGTTGGTTTATTCAGCATTTTTTAAAGCTGCTTTTCCTGAAACAGATAAAAACACATCCTGTCAAAAGCCTTCTTGGCGGAGGTGCTGGGGGTTAAATAAAACCTCTAGGTAAATGAGCTGCAAGTCCATCTGCACGTACTAAGTTGCTTTTATTAATCCAGAACTGCATGCTACAGATACTGTACAGCATGGACATTTATTCATTACAAAAATGGCTTCCAAACCATTAGAAATGAAAAATCGGAATAAGAGCAATAAAACGGAACAGTAACATCACAACTGTTAGGAAACATTCAAAGGATTCACAAAAAATGTCATAGTTAGCATCTTAATAAACCAGAGAAGAAAACTGGAGACAGTTTTACAATCGCTTCATGTCAACTACAATGGCACTGGATGAACAGATGAACATTTTTTTTCAGCTTTATACAGCATTTATCTTCTTTTAAAAAATTTGCAACATCAACATGCCTAGGTTTTTTTTTAAAAGTTTGCTACCTACCTGTATGTAGTAAGTGTACATAAAAGTGGCAGTCTGATTTTTCATTTTATGAATAATCTAATATACAGAATTTGGCCCTTTAGGGTTTATACCTCTTCATTTTAAAATGCTTTCTGGACAATCTGCTACCAAACACGTCTGTAATAGGTGACATTAAAAACTACATACATATCTACCTATGTAACATCACAGCAAAACAGGATGAACAAAAAAAAAAAATACAGCATAAAAATTGTTGGGAAAGGAGAAAATCACTGAGAATTTTGGCACATAAAATTTTTTGCTCACAGCCTACAAGTGGCAGGGGAAGTCATCTGCAGTTCTGAATGGGAAACTCTGCTGTTTTTCCAACAGCACTGATAAAAAGTCCCGTGCTAAATTTTCAAGTCTTATTTCATGTAATGGCTTTTAAAGCTTTTTTTTTTTTTTTTACACTATTGATCCATCTGCAAATGTCCATTTGGTGGCAACTGTGTGACAGAAAAAAGGAAGAATTTAAAACAAAATAAAAAAAAGAAGCCAACAAAAATATATATATACACATTTATATATAAACTTAAAAACCTTGTACAAATGAGTTGTTATATATATGTTGCTTACACTAAGGGGGGAAAAGAAGACCTTTACACAATGTTTCAAGGGGAAAAAAAGAAAGGAAAGCATTTCTTTTAAAAAATGGACAAACATACAGATACAACAAGCAATCTCTAAAGCAATAAATACTACTGGTCCAATAGCGTTGTGATACTTTTTAATTGTTGAGTAGCGTTCCCTCCCCCAAAAAAGAACAACACCATGGAACAAGGTATATTAACACATTTTAACCCTTTGTTTCTGTACATTTAAACAATAACAAGTAACATCACAAGGAAAGTTATATCACACAAAGGGAAAAAAAACGGGGAAAAAATAGCGGCACTGCATTCATTGTGCCCTTAAAAAGTTTTAAAAACCAGATGTAAAATGATTGGTTCGCAAGCTCGTATTTAATACAAATAATAAAGAACCAACGCCTTCGGCAAGGGCTGCTTCAAAATTGCTTCTTTTTTTCATTTTTAAAATCAGTCTTTGAAACTAAGCTATTGGAACTACATAACAGTTATGTATATATATATTTATATATATATATATTTTAAACGCTACAAAGACTTTAAACAGCTGTTGATAAAAATTTTGGCAGAATCATGAGGCTTTTTTTTCTCCATCTACATATTTAAAAAGGAAAAAAAATTGAAATAAGGATGGGTCAAATATTGACCAATGAACTCGATACACATCAACTAATGTAGCCAGCCATATGGCACAAATTTTTAAAAAATATATAAACGGAAAAAGAAGGGGGGAGGGGAGAAATCTTGACACAAAAAGAAATGAAATAAAATTTAAAAACGGCTACAAGAGGCTAAAGCTATTCTAAAGACTTGGTGACGAGTGACAGTGGCTGAGGTTGTGTCCCAGCCAAAGAATTATGGGAATGCAAGGAGGATGTCGAGGGTTGCGCTAGCGAAGAGGAGGACGGCGCGGACTGCGGTAAAGTGGCAGACTGATGGTCCAGTGCCCCGTTCTGACAATTACTAGCAGGCAGACCGCTGGATTTGCTAGTGGAGCTTTCAGTCAGGGCTATGGAGGACGGCGGGGGCGGCATCATCGAGAGGTGTGAGAGTGGGTCGGGTTTCAATGTGAGCGAGAGAGGTTGGGTTTGTTCAGTCTGTGGTTTTGAGTCTCTTGTGGGGGAGGCTAGCATGTTGGGAGAAGACGGTGGAGAGTCTAGTAGGCTTCCATCTGAAGAGGGTGGGCTGACGCAGCTGCCTTCACCTTGTATGTAGCGAACGCACTTTTTTTTTCTCCTAGAAATAGGGAGAGAGTAATCTGTGAATGAAGGGCAAAGATGCTATTTGGAGGGGAAAATAATAACCCTAAAGCAAAGAGCCATCAACCAACTATGCCGGGCTCTGTTTAGCTGTACCCAATTATATAATGGTGCTGGCTACCTCTGGACAACGATTAAGGAATCCGTCTTTCTGCTAACTAGCGGAATTTGCTCTTTGTCCCATTTATTTATTTTAAAAGCCATCAGTTTTATGTTCTTTTAGCACCAAGTGAATTCATTCTTAGCTGTTTACATTCTCGTTCCCCTACAAACCAAAATATGGCAGATACTTCCTCTCAGTTGGCATCAAGCATTCTGAAAGACTGACTCTGGAGTCTCGCTTCTGGAATATCTCCCTGCCTGCCTTGGAAGAAACCCCACCTTTGCGACCAACTGTAGCCGAGGATCTACCACTCCTGCTTGTTTCTGTTTAGAACCACACCGTGTGAAAACAAGAACAAAAAAAAAAATCAACGTCACACAGACACAAAAAAGAGGAAAGAGTAACAGGAAGAATAAAAGTGGGAAATGAAGGAAAAGGAAGATGAACAGAAATACCGTCCAAATTAACAAGAATAACTGGTTGTATAACCTGCAGGTTGTGGATTATCACACATTCATTTATTTTATTTTATTTCGTAAAGGGTGGGGAGGGAGAAGGAATTGTTTGGCTTCTACTTTAATTTATAGAAATTAAAAGAACTTCAAAAGAAAACTTAAATCTCGGTTAGGCGTGGAGTGCACAAACAAAGCAACAACAGGTATCATTGTAAAGAGAAACAATCAGAAAATGGTTAAGAATTTCACAAAAATTATCAATGCTATTAAATCAGGCCACTATGCACCCTGGCTTATCCAACTTACATAAAGAACGACATCTATGCATTGCACCTACTGCCTAATATTCAGAAGACACGTCTAGTGGCAGAACAAAAATATTAGGCGTACAATGAATGCGTCCTCTGGAGCAGATTCCCACAGGGCAAACGGATTCTAAAAACCGGTCACAGCAAACACGACGTTTTGATCTTTTTCTTTTTTGCCCAAAGCACTCGTGTTGGAGTAATACAAGGCACCTTTCTCAACTGAAGTTCATGTCTGTTAGCATGAGACTCTCAGCTGAGGCTGAGAGGTAAGTAATCGTATGTGGCCAGTTGACCCTATGTTGAAACTGACCAACACCCCCATCAGGTGTCAGGGCTTAAGTGATTGATTCCAAGCTGACCCATATGTAGAATTATAAAGGTCAGCTGGCACAATTTTCCACTGGTGTAATTATAAAAGTCCAGTAAAGTAACACTATTGCCCAGTCATCTGTAATCTGAGAGTTAACACTTTCAAATCCAAGAGAGTGGACTATGTCCACTTCAGAGGGCATTCCACCCAGCATTAGTCTCATGTCACAGTCTCCATTTCACTTCACTGATGCTCTGTCACTGCACCTTTAATGATACATTTGCACTTTATTCTATGAGGTCCCAGGTTCAATCCCTGGTATCTCCAGGTAGGACTAGGAGAGACCTCTGTCTGGAAGCTGCTGCCAGGCAGTGTAAACAATACTGGTCAAAATGGAGCAAATTGTATAAGGCAGCTTCCAAATTTAGCTCTTATTCCCCTCCCCCCTTTGAATTGTTTTTAACCTTTTATGGTATGGTTTTTAAAAAATCATTTTAATGTTGTAAACTGCTTTGATATGCTCTTAGGGTTTAGTGGTATATAAATATTTTTATAATAAATAAATAGAATGGGTCACATTTTAGAAAGGATTAGCTAGGAAACCCAAGCAACTTGCTCTTGTCAATTCCTAAAGGTTTCTGGAACAGAACAGATTAATAACTTTTCCCTCCCCCCCAAAAAAAATGAGATTAAGGTTCTGCCCAAAGTTCCACACAGCAAAGTCAATTGTTAGGGCAGTGGAGAATTTTAACCACATTAGCCTGCTGATCAATACATGCTAGAAACTAAGACAGCCATGCATGTAAAACCTTATGAATTAAAGCAACAAAGCACAGAGCAGAAAATAAAAGGAAAGAGAAAGTGCAAGATGGCAAGCAACAGCAAACCATGCTTTATTAAGGCAAGTTAAAAGATAAAAAAGAGTAATTGGTGGGCTCTAAACAGAACCTTGCTAGAAGCCTCCTACCTCAAGTAATAAAAACTGGAAATCTATTAGCAAGAAATTGATGTAGTCCACTGGCCTGAACTATTTCATGTTCTTTATGTCTTACTCTTTAATTAGTCCCTTCAGGCAGAAAGGAGGCAATGTTACCATATCAACAGTTCAAAGCAGCATATATTTTTTTACCAACCCATGGGAAATAAGCAAGATTATATTAACAGAGTGGTGCTAATATTTAGGAGATCCCATTATATGTTCCACATCGGCATGCAAGGTACTATTATCTTGCCTTACAGATCAGCGTTTTCCAAATAGCACACAGAGCTCTACCTGTCAATGCCATGGGGACCTTCTGAATCAGTCGCCATGCTGTTGGTGGGAGGCAGTGGGAGGCTCTGGCAGGCCATGCAGGACAAAGGGTAGAGGAGCATGTGTGTGCATGCATACACTTCATGGATCAATGGATAGGATCTCTAGATGCTAACCCCTCCCACCAAACTCAACTTCACAGATGCACCTCCTTGCTCAAGGATTTGGTCATTACAGACATAGCCTGCAATGGTAAGCCCATAAAGAAGCCAACAAGCTTCAAGATGGGTTCTTGTTCTGAGGTGCTGAAGAGAACTATACATGTCTGCATTACCAGTCTTGTCCCTAATAGGATTGGGATCAGTGCCCAAATTCAGTTTCCTCCACCTCCCTGACACCCACTCTTCTTTACAACTAAAGGGTTTCCCTACAGCATCGGGCCAAGAAAACCCAGAACATGTGATGGCAAAATGTAGCGTCATTACTGAAAGTGGCGTTTCGGTTGTTACTGTTTGCTGCTGTTCATTTACAGAAATCACTTCAAAATCAGAATCAGTCTCGTACGGTTCAGGCAAATCAGTTTTATATAAGGGACAAGAGAAACTGATGTTCCTTAGGACGTGTGTGTTTAGTGTTGCATCAGGTATAGATTTATAGCTGAGTAAACAGTAGGTCATCAGCATGAGGCTTATAGAAAACAAGTACTAAGGCCAGGGTAGTATGTGAAAAAAATAAAATTCAGTGCTGAGAAAAGCTGAATTCTATAACAACTAATAAATACAGACCTATTTCCTTATCCTGAACAATTTATTTTGTGAGTTATGGCAAGGGACAAAGTGCTATGCAAGCCATAAATGTATTTTCCTTCTCTGGTCAACATTTGGGAATTCAAAATGTTGGCAATGATTTTCCTGACCATAAGGTCCAGGAACTTGATTTTTTAAAAAAATAATCTTACAACTTTTTAATTCAGCACTCAACAAAAGTTTTTGTCCTTACACGGAGCAGCCACAGAACTGTGAAATATAAACACAGCACTAATAAGTCATGGAACATGCAAAGCTCTCTCTCTCGCTCTCTCTTTTTGCACTTTAGACCTAGTGGATTATGGGCAATTTTTTTTAGCTCCAAAGCATGTTTAGATTAATTAATTGAATAATTAAGGTGTCCCTGAGCCCAGTGGTAAATGTCTCATACATATATGCTTTAATATAGTGTAGATGACATACCATGAAGCAAATACTGGAATTGAAACCCAAAAGCACTTTATTGTTCAGCTAGTTATGATGGCACTGGTAACAGCTATAGAAAACCAAATATCTATCTAAAAGCATTATACCTAATTTAACTGACCTTTAAAGTATTTAACTCTATGTTCAAGACAGAACTGACCTAGGTATGATACACACATGAAGTGTGGGCCATGATACTTACGTATTCTCACAGGCTAATGCATATTTGGAATATTAAGTTCTAATTAATACTAATATTGTCCCAACTGTCCTCATTTTACTCTCAGTAGAGTTTGCTATCAGAAATCAAAAATTATCTTGGGTTTGTGGGATGCCCTCACCCAGTCACGTCCAGTATTTGCTCCTTCACTGAACTCTGCAATGTATCATCTATCCCCAGAAAAACAAAACACTGGAGTCAAGCAGAAAGAGTGAGGGAGAGAAAGAGAGAAAGTGATGACCTACAGAGTTTCAAGTTAAAGTTTATTGTAACAGTTTGTTGAAATTTTTTTTTGCAGTGTTAATATGCATGCTCTGTAGCTTCAAGAATGACATTTTAAAGATCCTACCCCAAAGCTTTTAGAACTAAACTGAAATTATGTTAAGCTGAAAATGCTATTTTGTATTAGAGAAAAGAGTTTGTTTCTCCCCACACACAATTCAACAATCATTTGACTGAAAATACTACAGATCATGTAGCAGATCCTCTTTAAATATGACTTGAAAATAGTTAAATGTAGTTTTAAAGCAATAAAATACTGGCTGCAGTAAAAAGGTAATAAAAGAGGCAGATGCTGGAGACAGGCATCTAGAGCCAAATCTGATCCTCGTAAGACATCCTATTGGGCTCCCTTGATCCCAACCTCCTTCCCATGCACAATTAGGCACCTTGGCCACTTCGACCAAACCAAGACACATACAAAGACGGTCTTTAATCTCATTTTCCTCCCAGGGCAAAGAGAATTTCAGACCCGTGCATAAACCAAGTCACAGGTGAATATGGCAGTGAGCACCTGAGGTGCCCCAAACGACGCCTTGACAAAGTATTTATTACTGTATATTCTGCAAGATAGATGGCTAGGGATGCCTTTGCTTATGTTGCAGTGACCAGACGTGTGGAGCCAACATTGCTGGCCTCTATCTCAGTTCAAAATAGTCCCTTTACTGATAAGGGATTTAGAACAGAATTTCTACCTTCCATCAGCATTCTAGTTTTGACAAATATAAAAATGGCCGCCTATGTCTCTATGTACTAGAATAATTGCCAGATAAGCTTAGTAGTGTTAAGAGGAATTTCGCTCTCTTAATGAGTTATCTCGTTTTTTCAAAGCTAAAGTTGTTATCTGGCTGTTCCAATGTTTCTTGAACGTGTAATTTTCAAAAGGTATTCAATAATCTGCATTGACAATGACCTGTGCTATTTTGCTGCTTCTGTCACACAATCACAGTGCTTACGCATGCATCTGATGGGAAGTTACAGCGTTCAGGTGGAATGCCGTCCTTAAAGGACAATGCATGAACTTTATCTAACAATTAGATGTACAGTACATTTTCAATCCATGTGTATAGCTCGGAATCACAAAACTAACAGAATTGGCATGCATATAATATGAATAACTGCTCTATTGTCTAAAAAAACAGAATGAAGCACATGGTATGGGTGTGAATCAGAGGGAAAGGTGAGGAGGGGGAGCACTACATACAGAAAAGAGTGTGTGTTGGACTGAGATACCTACCATCATAATATTCCAAATTCAAAGACTGCTTGGATCAGAACAGAGAAATAACAAATTTAACCATATTATGGGGAAAAAAGAATGCAACAAGAGATAGTTTGCTTCCCTTCACCAAGAAACAAGTGCATACTGAATTTATCCTGCAGTAGAACATGGGTTGTTTCAAATGTTTTGGTCTTCGGTGCCATTAAGCTGAACAATGCAGAACAATGTCCTGTAATTTGATTAAAATCCCAAAACAACTTGCCAAGCAAATGTCAACTTAACAAGCCAGAGACAAATGGACTACTGCAAATATTTTTTTGCCAGGCACCTTATGAATGTGCCTAATATGAATTTTAGTTGAGCTTTCATAAGCACACAAGATTGATTCAAAAATATACAGAAGAATTTGTTATATAGACTCCCAATATATTATTAGCTTAGATCCAAGCAGAAATTCTAATTTGTATCCTCTTTCATCACAGTGAAAATACCAGTGCTGCAAATATCCTTTGGAGACTGAGAGCATACACATAGACACTTGTACGGATGTCCACTTAACACACTTGTTTGACCAAGAAAATGTTAGTTTCTGCATCTTGGGGATGTGTGTACCAACTCCCAGTTCTACTACCAAAAGAGAGGTTATTGGTCAAGAAGGAAAAGAAATTTGCACTGAATTAGCAAAGAATTCTGAAGATCAAAAATTGATTAGCAATCAATGTCGTAGAAGCAAGGAAGGCGAGAAGTGGAAGGGGGGGTTAAAAATAAACCACACATTTAATACTAAGATGACAGAATGCTTTTAGTTCCCAAAGGCCTAATGGGTAGTATACCTGCACGGTTTGCACCATAAACTCTGTCGGTCAAGCCCGAACAATGCCCGACACTTCTTTGGAGTATTTGCATCTGTTAGCACAAGGTAAACACAAAAAAATACAACACAATGGTGGATAGAGCTCAGTTGGATGCGAAATCTTAGCTACAGCTAACATTTCTCCCAGTTCATTTGGCAATCTCGCAGACCAAAGGGCAAGAAAGAAAGTGGATCTCCACAAGGCGACACACACTTACAATGCCTAAGCCTGCTGTGCATTCTCTTCACTTAGCCCTGTGTCTTCTATGGTATGGAACTTTCCAGAGAGGAGGGTGGGATTGCGTGTGCAAGCCTAGGCTGATGCTGTCTTACAGTGGGAATTTTCCAGCTAGCGGCAGTGTGCAGGTGGGTGGAGGAAACAAAAATGAGGGGGGGGGGCGGCAGAAGAGAGCGAAATCCTTTAAACAGAAAGAGATGATCATTCACGGCAGCGTCCCACTCCCTTGTGTCTTCTAGATCACAACACAGAGCTACAAAGCAACAAAGCAGGAGGAGAGGGAGGGGAAGGGGGAAGTACCAAATAAACCAGCTGCAAAACCAGCCATAGCAAGTCGGGGTTGGGGGGGGAGACTATACACACCTGCAGGGGCCGCACCAGTTATTCTGTTGATCAAGGCCAAAGCGCGCTCGGCATTTCTTAGGAGCGCTCAGGTCTGAATGAGGTCAAGAAAGAAGCGAGCAGGAAAAGAGAAAGAAAGAGAGAGAGAGAAAGAGAGAGAGAGAGAGAGAGAAAAGGAGAATAAAAAAATAAAAAATAAAAATAAGAAAAATAAATAAAAATAAAAGGAAATAAAATCAATGACCTCATTATTAACTGCAAAATATCAACTTTTGATTGTTTTATTTTCTTTAAATAGTGATTGTCACATCTATCAAACTTTTGAAATTAGCTGTTGCAATTAAAGCTGCAGTATCCCTTTGGAAAGGACTGTTTAATAATAATAATAATAATAATAATAATAATAGGAAGAATTGCAATTGATTCAAGAGGCATTGGAGGCACAACCCATCTACTGTTTCTGCACAAGCCCCCAAGAAATGCAGCGGGTTTGTGAAGAACACTATTTGGTGGACTTCTCTTTTGATATAGAAATACTTCTTTTTATAGGGAAAAAAGGTGTGTAGGGGGAAGACAAGGAACTTAGTATAGAAATAGCTAACATGCTTTCTTCTTGGGGTGGGGATAATGCAGCTTTGGGAATAAACATTCAATTTGTATTTTAAAAAAAATAATTTAAAAAAGAAAAAAAGAAATGGCTCAGAATAAGCAGATAGCAAAATGGATATGTTAGTTTCAGCCAGAAATAAAATGATCAGAAGCATGGAAGCAAGTGGTATGCAGGTAAAGCAGGTGAATAGCAATGGATATGTTTGAGTAGAAAGGCATATGTCTATATATATATCTCTATACAGATATATATATTGCATGCAGGCATGAGAAGACTTAGTGGGTGCCGCATAAAATGCCATTAGATTAAGGAGGTTCATTATTAAGCTTTTTATATCAGTCTCTTTAAAGAAATACTGCATATTCAATTTGCACAGTTAGTACAAATGAGTTATTTTTACTGCATTACTGTTTAATAGCAACTGTAATGAATAACAAATCAGAAACAAAGAAAAAAACTAACCATAGCACATATATATACGCTACAAACGTGTGAATGATAAATTTATTTTTAATGTCAGTGTTTAAATGTTAATAAAATCTAAAATGGCAGGATAAAAAAAAGAGCAATTTACAAACTATTTTAAATGGCTGAAAATGACATTAGCACCTGTAATCGGAGGAAGTGAAAGGCAAGGATTTAGGAAACATTCGCTGTGTTCTGAAAAAAAAGAACAAATTATACAAAGGCTTCAAAGAAAAAAATTAATCAGGGCTTTTCCAAAATTGACTATGAGATTGCCTATGCAGTATTTCTAATTTTCTAGAAAGAATGGCAAACCTCCTTAATTTAAAAAAAATGGCTGCAATTTACCACTGTAAAGGCATGCATCAGTTCACACAGAAACAGCCCAGATTAATACCAAACTCTCTCTCACACACACCTTTGGTAATAATGGCACAGGCATTAACAAACTATGGCTCTACAGTGAGTAGCTCTGCAGTTATTAAGGACAAACATAACTACCATTATAATATGCTATTCATGCATTTACGTGGCTACTAGTTTTAAAAGGCGAGCAATAAGAATTTAACTGTACTTAAAATCCAACAGGAAAAAGCTGGATGTAGTAATGGCCCTGTGGCAAGAAGGTTGGGAGATTTCAAACTTTCTTCTTATGCACAGTATTAGTAACTTATGGCCTTCATTGTTCCACTAAGGAATACGTAAAACATTCCATTTTACTTACCATTGGTCTCTCCTGGCTGTTTGTCCCTTTTCCTTTTCTTCTTTTTGCCCTGAATGAAACACAAATACATGAAAGGGTTGTTACAGAACCTACTTTGAAAAAGAGGCAAGAGGAAAGGAATGTTCTGCAAAGCTTGCTAGAATTGTACATATTTGAAAACATTTCAATGTGTGTGGCAACACAACGCTTTTCAGCAGCTCAAATTGCCCACTTTCTACTTAACATTTCATTCTAGTCATAGCGACACTTCAGAACTCCTAAGAGTATAACTTACACTGTGTACAAAGAGCAGCACATAAATGTATGATAAAATAAATCAGTTGCCAAATGCGTGTTTGGGTTAAAGGTGGGGCTTGGATCTGAAGCGCTGAAGACTACTGATATAGACTACTATTGGATAAAATCGTGTCAGAGCATTTAATGTCAACACTTCCCATAAAGAATCCAAAGCTGGCCAGCAATCAAGACTCTGTTTGTGTTACATAAATTACCATTACATACTTTTGCTCTTCATCCAGTCAGAACAAATGGGACTGGGGATGGGTGGGAAAATATTGTACCCAAAATATGCTCTACAATGTCTGACAAAATCTCACAAACAAATAAAGTTAAAAATGGATTGCAAACTTGGATTCAGCAGGAAACCTTTTCCTGTCAACAGTCTTGTTTTAATTATTTACTTGTGTTTTTATCTTGTATTTTATTTTGTAAACCACCCTGAGATCTTATGATGAAGGGGGGGGTATATAAATTTGAACAAACAAACAAACAAACAAACAAACAAACAAAGACGTAAGCATTAGAAATAAGGCTCAACTTCCCCATGAACCTTAAGGAAGCATCATTCTTATTTTTAATACGCCAAGAAATGAAAAGAACAGCAGTCCTAATCAGGTATTATACCAGTAAGGAAATAAAACACCTGAGAAGGATGATGGGGGTGAACATGCTAGGCTCGACCTCCAACACTGTTGCCATTGCCCCTCACAAGCTGAGCTGCAATGGTCTGCAGGGAGGTTTTCCCCACTTGGCTAGGATTCCTCACTTTTATCACAAGCAGAAGCCAGCTCCCTGCTGCAATTAGTCACAGAGATCAACCTTGTGGGTGTATGTGAAGTAAAGCTAGCATGCTCACACCCATCTGCCCTCTCACATCCCTCATTAGTGTAAGGCCTGAATAGGGCTCGTGTCTATGTTCAGTAAATTTGCTTTCCCTACAACAGAACTGGCAATGCTGAGCAACCATTAAAAGGCTGCTCAGTCTCACCTTGCTTTATTGGCTCTGCGTAGTGTGGTTAGGCTGGTGGTTACTTGCATGCTCTGCTTCTAATAAGGAGATATTAATGGAAATTCACAAGGGAGTAACAGAGACTAGATCTCTGTTCACCAGCGGGTAAACTGAAAGCATGCTCTCGGAACGAGAAAGCTTTGGGCTTAGTGAAGATTTGGCTACAACCCTAAGGTAGGTGGGCGAGAGGCTTTCCTACATCTGTGATGTCTTCTCTTCAATAGCTTGGTCTAGTTCCCACTTCAGCGATTCATTTTGGGTTTCAACTCAGCATGTCCACTATGATGTTTATGTTCCCTGGAATGTACCAGTAAGAAGAGGAGATGTGAACGTTCCTTTTGAAAATGTAGCTCATGCAGGTCTCCAGGCATAAGGTCTTTGAACTTGTTCCTCCTTGCTCATTCTGGTTGTAAACTGCTACCCTGCCGATTTGGATGTGACAAATAAAGTCTTGTTCAGGTGAACTTTTGCTGATGGAAGGCTGTGTCTGTGCTTGCTTGTTTTGTTCAGATTTAATGCACCTGCTGGGAATTTTGTGGCACTACTACAGAAACGGTGTAATTACCCAACTTAAGCCTCAACTTAATCTCCACCACATATAAGGTGATTTGCAGAATGGAACTAGTATCTCAGCTATATAGTACTACCATACTCAAAATCCACAAAGATTAATGTTTCATAGCCTTTCCATAAATAATTCCACAGAGGGGACCAAAACAACTCAGATATTTCAATGGTGTACTGCATAACTAAGGATCAAAAATTTTTACGCAATATTATTGAAACAGTTTTAAATTTGTGGTATAAAATATATAGATTTTATTTTACCAACAAAAGTGACAAGGATAGTGAACTAGTAAACATCTTTCATGGAGAGTTTATTATTTTGCATGAAAAGGACTGGAGCAAAACAGGTAGAACTGAGTTAATCCTTCAAGAGGAAGAGGTGGGAAATTCAATTCCCCCTCCCCACATAAAAGTCAAGCAATTATAAGTTTCTACCTGACCAACTTCCTTTACCATCAGATAACAAGATAGCTTGTTGAAAAGTAAATTCCTATCATTTAATCTGACACTGTAATAAGTATTTTAGAAAAACTATTCTCCCCTTCGAAAGTAATCCATCAAAAATCCCCGACAAGTGCATCTTTTCACTTCAGATAGTTTGGTTGACTTTTCAAACCAAGCTAGAAAATCTGTGTTAATATAGATGAACTTGGCGAAGGCCCTTCCATATTTCCTCAAAAACAAGTTTCTGAACCCAGTACATAATATTAAATAAGTGGCATTGTTGTGGGAAGAGAAACAGTATAAAGATGTTTTATTTCTATTGGAATCCTGGCATTCTGGAAGAGATGCGTACTTTTCACTGAAGTATATGCAACGTTCACAAGCTCCTACACATGATGTCTAACAGCTATAATTAGATGGACTGGCAAACCTCTTTTTGTTTACTGAGCCACCATATAGACATTTCCAGTGCCTAAGGCAAGGATAGGGAATGTGTGGCTCTCTACATATTGTCAACCCAAGCCTGGGATGATGTCAGGGATGATGGGTGCTGCAGTCCAGCAGCATGTGGTGGGCCACAGGTTCTTCATCCCTGGTGTTAAGAATAATTAAATTTATGCATTGCCCCTCACCCGAGCAGCACAGGGAGTTTTATAATATAAAAACACATAACCTAATATTAGTAAATGTTACACAGACAGGTCCATTCAGCATGGGAACTTATGATATCATGTTATATGGTATCTTGAAAATGAATGGAAAAAATGTAGCTGTCTCTCAAAATTGCTACATTTTAGATTCTTCAAAAGCATTGTCTTACTGGATCAGCCCAATATTTACCTACACTTAATATTAATTCCCCAATAACAGACAGTTGGATAGTTCTAGATGGCTTAAAACCAAGAAACTCTGTTCCACTGCTAGTCCCCAGAGTTTGGTCACCAGAGACCTAGAGCCTCTGAAGATGGAGATGCTATGACATGGCTAATAGCCATTGACTAATTATTGATTAATTAAAAGCAATCTAAGCTAAGAGACATTATATCTCGCCATAATAAATGTTAATAAGGCATTGCATGTTTAAGTGCTTCCTTTTTGACTTCTAAACCTTACACTGCTAAGATTACACTGCTCTATTGTTCTCCAACATCATTCACTTGATAAAAATGCATGGTTTTATAAATCCTTATTATATCCTCCTTAGTTTTATATTTTCCAAACTAATAATCCCCAAAGACTGTTGCTCTTTCAGCAAACTGGCATACTCTTTGAGAGAGAGGACCAGAAATGTACATAGTATTCAGAGTGATCATACTTTTATTTGATAATTTCAGTCCTTCTTTAGTATTTCCTAACACTGAATTTTTATTTTTCACTGATGAAACAGGTACTTTTAGTGAGCTCTCCACTCTGAACCCATAGCTCTCTAGGTATTTTTGTGATTTTTGTAAGTAGCTTTCGTAGTAATAATAAATAATAATAATAATAATAATAATAATAATATTTTAATTATATCCCGCCCTCCCCAGCCGAAGCTGGGTTCAGAGCGGCTAATCTTTCTACTCTGTTGTTTTACTGATTTTATTTATTTAACCTTATAACTTTTAATTTAAAATTACAAGTAACTATAGCTGGGCCATCTTCATGTCATGTTACAGTGAACTGATGCTTCTATGTGGATGTGGCACATGAAACCTCTACAATTTCCATAGTGGTACAAGCTCAAAAACCTTAGACCTCTGATATATATGCATCCTGCAGAGATGCGCCAGCTCCCACAAACAAGAGAATTTATATAAGCATAGATTAGATGTGAGCTGGTGGTGAGACCTTGTGTGATCTAAGTGATCTTGGGGTAGGGGCATTGTCACGTGTGAGCCAGCTGTCAGTTTATTAGTACTGTACATTTGTGTCTTGCTCATCAAAATAAAATTTTGTAGTCCCATGGAGACTGAATAGCAAGGGTATTGTAAACTGAATCCATCCATCCTGGGACTGAAATTGAACTTCTGAGATTATTTTTAAAACGAAAATTCATGTTTTTGTATAACAACTTTTAATCTGTCTTCAGGTTTTTTAAAAATATTGTTCAAGTATACAAAATTCTTATCCTGGTTGACATGCTGCTTAAATAAAAATAAAAATATGAATCCTAAATTTAATACTTAAATTTTGACTACACAGTTGGAACCAAGGACTTAGTTTCTGATATTTAATTTTGCTTCAAGTTGTGAAAAAATTAAGATATGTGCACAGAGGCCTCCAAAACTTCATTAGGTATGGCAGACACTATCATGTGTGTGAGACATAAATACAAGATGAAAAGGACACAGAGGGTCATCTAGTCACTACATACAGTGCAGTCCCCATTTCCTTTCTATATCCGTAGAAAGACTGTTGTCCAAAGAAAGAATGTGGAAGAGGATAGACTCCAAGAATTCTGAGTGTTATGCAGAAAAAAGTAAAACCCTTGTAGATCATGTGCTTGTGTGATCCAAAGCTATTGAGTTCTCCTACTGTAGTAAGGTTCCCCCTGAAGGTCAGGTGGGGATAGAGCCTCAAGCTGCTGGGGACGTATCAGCTTTCTTATCCTGTCCTTTTTAGCTTGAGAAGAAAGGGATTTTCAGTGCTCACACGCTGAGGACAAATGTAAAGGTCCTAAACATTTAAGACACAGTACATGCCCATCTGTCAGTGACACAGTCACTAAAGCAGAGGAAATGTTTCCTGGAAATCTTTCAAGCATTACGGCACATCCCAACGCTACTCCCCCAGGAACTCCCAAGAGGAATCAGACTGCAGAGTACCAGGAATGAATCGGCCCTGTGGTCTGACAGCTTCCATTCCACTCCGTTCATGGCACAAAATGTGGGCTATGAATTTGGTGGTGGCAAAAATGGTCAGAGACAGCTCCTGGGTTGTAAGGGAAATCACCTCAAAAGAGGGTATACAGATACTCTCTTATGCATGTGAAGAAATAAGAACTAGGGAAGGATAATGTGAGGATTTTGATACCACAGATGTTGATTATAAGTTTTAAACAACACTTCATCTTTAGGAGCCAAAATACTAAACTAAGATGCTGTCTTTGTTTTCTCTCAATAAATGGAATTAATAAAATGTTGGTTGGTAGCATATTAATGTGCCTCTCCTCTCCATGTAGGGCTATAGGCTTATTCATGCAAATATGTGCAGCTGCATAAGAACATAGGTTACCTAATTTACAGAAGAACAAATTCCTGCCTTTGCAAAACAAAACAAAACTAACGCACGCACACACTTAGTCCTATGCACACTTAGATCTAAGACTCACTGAGTTCTATGGAGCTTACTCCCAGGAAAGTGTGCATAGGACTGCAGTCTAAAGAAATAATCAAGACAGCAGATTCAACAAAACTGTATAAGTATAATGCATATCAGAGTGTCTGCAATAAGAGAGGTAAGATTGGCAGGAACAATACAATGACCAGAGGCAAAGGAGGTCAGGGATCCTGTACCTATTATACCTGTATGAAGAAGGAATTTCATGTTCCTTCTCATGTTAAGGTGAAACCTCTCCAATATAACTCTTAAAGCTACAGGATCTGGTCATCCTACCAGATATAAAGCACACCCTTCTCAATTATAGGCCTTTGTAGAACCAGCTGCTCAGGAGGTCTGTCAAAGCCTACGTGTATTAACTTTTCCATAGTGCTTGCAAGACTTGGTTTAAACATCTGTTTGGTAGGGTCTAATATGTTACGGCTGTGTATTTTATGTCATCTTGTATATTATTCTAATTCTGCGAAACAGCTCAAAAGTATCTGTGGCAAAAGCAGAGGAGCAATGTTTTTAAATGAAATAAATTGATTACCCCCCTTCCACTTGTGATCTTGCAATAATGTCTTGATACTGATGACATCTGGCCTCTATTTAAATTTTCCCTTACATGATTGGTGCCTTTCAGTGATTGATTGATTAATTAATTAATTATGTCTGGGAAGCTTTAGAGATTTTACCAATTTCTATTAGGTACAATCTGTAAGCTTGGAAATACTTATCAGTGAGCTATTACTTCCTTCTGAATGTACATGCTATGCTTATTTCCTGCCTATGGGATTTTGGTTGCAATTCAGCCATAGCTGTGACCAAACAGTCATGCGTATTAATTGGTAGATTTATGCAGGTTTGCATCCCCTTCAAATCTAAAGATGAAGCCAGCCACTTCATCAGGGTTTGAATGAACATTTTAGTGTCCAATGCTCATTCACAATGCATCTGCATTGCCAGCACAAAGGCAGGGTTTGTCATGCATGCAAAAGGCAGATTCCATGCACATCTCTCTCTTGTTAAATCAAAACACTGATCTCTGAAACCAAGCAGCCACAGTTAGAATAACTCAATGGAAGAAAGTGTGGCAAATGAGAATTGCACAGGAATAGTTCACCAATAGCTAGCACCAAGATGTTTGGTAAAGACATCATGAATTGAAAGCATTTATGAAAAAATTGTGACCATGACAGACAACAGTACAATAATATAAAAAAGTAGAGGGTGGAATAATTTATTTAGCCCCACTTGAGAGCAAGACCTCCAACAAGTCTTTGCCAGTCCTTCTCTGAAGCTAGGGTAAGCCATTCTTCCACTTTCCACTATACTCTCACACAGGTATGCAACAAGGCACTAATTTGGGGGGTAAGGGAAGGAGATGAGGGTGATAATAGAGAGGGAGCTCTTTCTTATTTTATTATTTTCTTTTTTTGTAAACTGCACAAAAGCTGGTGCCCTGATGGAAGACACACGGCCAGATTTCCCCGCCCCCCCTCAGAGCTCTACTGACACACCTCAGTTGAATGGGTGCCAATTGTATCCAAATGGGTTGGCGACAAAACCAAAACATCCGCTAGAATTACTGGATTGGTAGTGCTTGTCTTCCGTGTGTGGGTGTACTTCAGCAGATTACAGCAGTACTTGTCTACAAGCTCTACTACTGAAAAAAATTCCACCTACATAGCCACCTACATAGTTATCCCGTGCGGACCAGCCGGGGTAAAGCTGCATGTGGAGCTGTCGTTCCTTTCTGGCTAGTTCATAATATTTAGCTTGTTCTTCTCTGGATAATGCATGCCACTGCAGAGAGAAAGAAAACAAAACCACAAGCACAACAGAATGTCAGTAATACAGTGTGTGTACAATGTGCATTCACATTCAAACTTTGGAAAATGGCAGCCAATTAAAGCATATCAACTGATGCAGACTATTTATTTATTTATTATTAAGAACTCTGTTTTATCCAGGTTAGCTTAAGCTGGGTTATACCGATGGAGCCTTTCACTTTTGAAAATGGAATAGTGTGATTCTTCAAGTACTTTTACCAGTGGTAGATGGTGCCCATTGGAAGACCAACAGTAGTAGAAGCAGGAGCCAATGACAGGCAGAATCAACTAATTCCAGCTTTGTCGCCAACATCCTCTTTGCTGTGTTGTGAAGGGGCAGCACTGAGACTCAGGAGGAGGAAAATGACAGGCGGTGCCATCCCAGGAATGGTTGTAAGTAAGAAGGCAGGCAGGTGAGGTCTTGATGGGACAGAGCCCCACTCACCCTGATGGACCAGCCGCCAACAGCTATTCCCCTTTAACCAGCATTCATTTGAACAAGACATGCAAGAAATGCCCATAAAGTAGACCACACTTTAAATTTGCCTCTCCCTTCCCCACTTGTCACAATTTGTCACTCTGGTAAACCAGCCTCCTCCAAATAATAATAATAGTGACATACATTAATCAAATACCTATTTTTCATGCCTGTAAGGCAGGCCTGCACAATGTGTTACAGAACAAGTAAAATAGAACCTCCAAGCTGTCGCTTGCTGGGAAGTCATTAAATCTTGAATTTGCTACCTGTCTTCAGAACTATGCTTTGCCACAAGTTGCGAAGGCCTGCTTTAAGATACAACATTCAGACTTAAGGTTTCTACATCCAGGGAATGGAGAACCAAGCTTCAAGTGAAAGCTTCTACAGCCTTCTGAGTACAGAGTTCTTCACTAATAGGCTACAGTGGTGTGTTTAGAGACACCTTACAGAGAGAAGTAAGAATGCTGGGGTTCCTAAGACATGTCTCAGAATTAAGGGGCAGAGCAACCAAGGTATGGTGATGCCCAAGCACTGATGGAGAGGTGGATGGAGTTGAAAAGGAAAGGTCTACATCAAAGCAGGGTCATATCGACAGAAAAAGAAATGCATCTGCTGGATAAAAGTAAGTAGCATATGATTATGCTGTGCAGGTGCACATGCATTTGGTGAAAATGTAACTTTATTTCATTGTCTGTGTAACTAGAATGCAAAGAAGTTTCAAAGCACAAGTATTCAACCAGAAAGCTCGGAAGTTCCACTGGGCAGCCAAATGCCATAATCACACTTAAAATAACATTGTGGATTGTGCCCTTTCATTTCAGACATGTATCACACTCTCATTCTATCCCACATGCAAACTTGCATATACATATCCTGACTAGTTACCTACCCTTCGACCAAGGATTTGATTGATGGCTGCACTCTCTTTCAATGTGCATTCTGCTACAACTTTTGCTCTCATTTCCTTCATATACAACATAAATGCATTAAGAGGTTTCTTTATGTGTGGCTTCTTTTTCTCCTCTTCTTTTTTGGAGTCCTGATGTTTTCTGGATGGTTGACAAGAACAGACAGAAGGAGCTTGTACAACATTGTCAAAATACTTCTGTGCACTTATCCCAATCTTTGCCTCCATCATTAAAACCATATTGAGGGGAGCAAAGAAAAACTCAAAAAACCCTGAAACTAGCTGTAAAGCATCATACCAGCAGCCATGTACGGGAGAGAGATGCCCTTGGTGCACATCCAATATATTATTAAAACTTTGATAGATAATATTGCTTGATTACAGTACACTACTCCATGTATTTTTTTTACATCAGGAAAATTTATTTACTCAGATTTTTAACCTTTTGCCATATCTACATGGGCAAACCTAGGGTTCTGTGCACCAAAATATACATAGCCATCAGTTTTGAGTACCTGACTCTGAAGCAAATATGAGTTTTGAGGTGAACTATCATAAGATGCAGAGGTAGCAAGGAGCCATTTTACTGCCCTCACAGTAAAGGGGTCCTCCCTGCTGCCCAGGATATTTATAAACACTTCCAACAATTTTCTTCTCTTCCCCACCTGTAACTTCCCCTGTGGATCGTCAAGTAACACAGGCATCTAATAATTTACACAGTGAACGCGTGAAGAAGCTGACTTATAGTGAACCTGACCATTGGTCTAACTAGCCCAGTATTGGCAACAGCTTTCCAAAGTCTCCAGCAGGCAGGTCTTCTCCAATCTAATCAGCTACTGGAGATGCCAGAGAGTGGACCTGGGGCATAAAGTAGGTGTTACTCTGCTGGGTTATAACCACTCTCCCCAAGGCAATAGACAGCCTTCAAACCCCAGGTCTTAATTTTCTTGCCTGGCAATAGGTGCTGAGATATGAAGCAATTAGGGTAGAGGATGACGAAGAGGCAGGTATCCAATCTGATGGAGAATGGGAAATCAAAGCCTGTGCGAGTGAACCTGCTCATGAGAATGCAAGAAGAGCCTTCCAAGATCAGAACAATGCTGTACATCTGGTTTCCAGCAGTAGCCAGCCAGGTGCCAAGCAGTGTGTGAAGGCGATAGCCCCTTCCTAATGCTTATCCCTACCATGTGGCTCTGAAATGTGTAAAACCAACTGAGCTGATTGTGATGACTCTGAAGGCGGGAGGTTTAACACAATGTCTGGGCGGATGAAAAATTGGGCCCCGGGTTAACCATTCAAAATGCTTATTTAGTTAATAAGGATCTTGGCCAATAAAATTACGGCCCCTATTTGTGCTTGCTTTGGCAGCACATATACTAAATTATGGCCCCTATTTAATAAACAGCATATGAATGTGCAAAATATTTGTGGGGCAATACTTCTCCCCAAGTCTTACTAGAAACTACAGGCTTTACATGGGATCACATAGACTGGGTTTAGCCAGAATTGTTGGCAATTGCTTTGGAAACAAATAACTGAAGTTATTTCAGAAGCTGCATACTTTGCTATTAGGTAAAGGTAAAGGGACCCTGACAATTAAGTCCAGTCGCAAACGACTCTGGGGTTGCAGCGCTCATCTCGCTTTAAAGGCCAAGGGAGCTGGCGTTTGTCCGCTTCCGCAGACAGTTTTTCCAGGTCATGTGGCCAGCATGACTAAGCTGCTTCTGGCAGAACCAGAGCAGTGCACGGAAACGCCGTTTATCTTCCTGCCGGAACGGTACCTATTTATCTACTTGCACTGGCGTGCTTTCGAACTGCTAGGTTGGCAGGAGTTGGGACCGAACAACAGGAGTTCACCCCGCCATGGGGATTCGAACTGCCAAGCTTTCAATAGGCAAGCCCAAGAGGCTCAATGGTTTAACCCACTGCGCCACCCGCGTCCCATAAATACTTTGCTATTAGCAACCCATAAATAAAAAGATAAGGAATTCCCGAGTGCTTCAAATACACACATTTGTTCACTATCTTGACTCGTTCAAAAACCATAGACTTCATATATACAGGCACTCTCCAAATGAAGGAAAGGGGACTTGGGATTTTCGCAGGTCTGGGGTGGGCAGGCTCATGTCTCTTTGACATCAATTCACCCTGAACAACTCAAAGGCTAATGAAAGTTAAGAGATTGTAATCACAGTCTAGGTGCTTGTAAATCCCAGCACACCCATCCCGTAGGAAAAGGGCTGTTGTTTAGTGATAGAGATGTATGCTTTGCTTGTAGAAGGTAGTACACTTGATCCACAATATTTCCCTGTCTGAAACCCTGGAAAACTATTGCCAATATGTGTAATATTGAGCTTGCATGGTCCAATGGTCTTTACTTTGTTTGTCATAAGGCAGCTTCCAATATTCCACACCTTCTACAATAAGCAACATTAAATAAAAGTTTGTAAAATAGATTTGAATATTAAAAAAATACTTACGAGCTGTGGAGTGAGCCGACATCATTCTGGGAAGATTCCTGTTTGACTGTTGGGGTGACTATGGCCGGATGAGGGATCCCAGTCGTATGTAAACTATGATGTGGAGGGACCATGTGTGGAGGGAACCTAGAGGAGAGAAAGCTGTGTAAATCGTCAGAATAAAAATGAATGAATGGGGAGGGGTGTGTACACGCATATAATAAAAGCCATATAAAAAGCAAACAAACTCTAGACAAGCATATATGAAAACTGGCAGCAACAATAAATGATACTTTAAACATCATAATTCTTTTACTATCATGAACAGAAATAACAACTTTTAAAATAATAATAATAATAATAGCAACAATAACAACAACAATAATAATAATAGTTCAGTTCAGTTCAGTTCATGGTTTAAAAAAAATAGAAATTTGCCCACTCCTTCTTCATTGTAAAGTGCAGGTCCTACTCATATAAAATTATGGGGAAACAGACTCTGGGGATTTGAACTTTTAATATGAACCTCAAATCAGGCTGAGGATTACAAAATGGCTCTTTATTTCATTGTTATAAATAGCAAGTGTTTGTGGAACCTCGATTTACATGCAATTCTTCACCTTATTAGCTATAGTCTCTTAAAATGGAACGTAAAAAAATTGGGGGTTTTGTTGTTTTTTAATCATTGTCTTATAACTCCATGGCACAGGAAATCAAATTTGAAATTGTCTTGAGATTTAAAAGCAGGGACTTCTTAAAGAAGGAAAACAGGAAACATTTGAAAGGAAAATGGGAGATGTGAGTGGTAAGATCCAAATGTACAGTCAAATAAATATTGAATCATGTACTGGTGTTGTACCTATGTTCCTATAGCCATCTTTTACTAAACAAGAATCAATAAATATGCTTTCTAGTGGCAAAACAATACACTGATTAATGAATGGTGTTCAAGTGTACTCAGAGTAAGTAGAAGCAACATTAAAGTTGACTAGGCTATTTCCCTTCAATCCTAAAACGCTACTCTAGAAGGGGTGTGTATGTGTGTGCTGAACCAAAGAGAGATGGGAGAAGAAGTAGAGTCCTTCACCTCAACCCACATGCAAAATTGCACAGGTCCCTCTCATCTTTTTGTCATTCTTTGCCATATTCTAATCTATCATAACCAAGCTACAGACAACAACAATGGCATATGTTAGTGCCAGAAGCAGCTCAGTAGGTGAGGCCAAGCAGATCACCTGTGCTAGCTTCCCAACAGGTGGGTCGCTATTGCTTACTGGAAGGGACAGGAGCAAGGCACTGGAGACATCTGCTTGATGCAAATGCAGCAGCAGAGCCAATCTGAAGATCCTGGCTGGTTGCCCCTCACCAACCTCCCCACCACCTCAATCCTGCTGCTCCCAGGAACAACACTCTCAACCACCAGCCAGAAAGCTAGTGTAGTGGCTCCATCTCACCTCGCAAGCTGTTCCTGGGAGGGAATAAAGCTTTGCAGATATTGGTAGGGTTGTGTCATATTGGCCTCCACTTAGTTAAATAGGACTAGGTATGAAAGTTGCAGGCTCGTGACCAGTGTGTGGAGTATCTGGGTATCAGGTGGAGGTATAATACCTGCTCCTGCCCTAGACATGGCTCCCACTGACTTCCACTAGCTACAGAGTGTAGTGTCACTTTGCCTCTCCTGATGACCCCAGGGCATGGATGCCTTAAACACGTCAAAGCCTTTAATTCCTGGCATGGATATACTCATCACCAACTCACTTCCTTCCCTTATTCATGTTGGATTTGGCCCTTGGGACAGGTGTAGCATCAAATGAGAAGGGAAGGGGTTAGAAGGGGTGAAGCAATGAGAATGGGAAAGAAAAGAGACTTGCCACTCCTCAATATTACCAACCCTAGCCTTCAAATTGGTAGGCTGTTATCGCATTCTAATTACGGAAACTGTTTTCACCCAAATTGGGATATGCATACAACTGGTTTTCTAGCCCTTAGCTGATTGTTTTCCTTGTATGAGAAGGGAAAAGCAGAGTGATATAATATAGGGGCACAGAGAAGATGGGAATGGTCAATGTCCATTCTGTTCCTCCGTTCCCCAAAAGAATTTCTTAGGTGGGAAAGCTTGGGTTTCTGCTAGAACAATGTAACCTTCCCACACATCCCCTAAATATGTTCTGGGTTCCCCCCTCCCAAGCCTCCAGAGCAGATTTAGGGGCCATGCAGAGAAAGGACAGGGAAGGGAAGTTCTATTTAACAGCCAGAAGCGCTTATAAACAGGAGCAGAGAGGTGTTTTCATTTCCAAGATAAGTTTGCAAATCATTATTGAGAATGACTATGGAGGCGGAACTAAGAAGTGTGGCAGGGACAAGGAAAGTAGATATTGTCTTAACTTTGGTTTGGTTTTGTGATAGAAGAAGAGAAGACAAGGTGAGAAACCAGGTGTACTACACTACAAAAGGGGCTGTGTTGACTTGTCAAAATGTCATTTTCAGCACCAGTTTGTACATGGTTTTTTGATGTAGTGAAGCATCAACAGTCTATCATAATTTCATATGGAGAAGAATTTGTGTGAAGGAGTTTCTTCCCATGGGAAAAGAATGGGAAACTTCCTGCATCACAGAGATAATATGAGAACCACATTTTTTCCCCAATGCAGATTTTTAAGGTATGTAATATTCTTCATTTTACCATGGAAAAGGTTGCAGCAAAGCTACTGCATACAATCGTAAACCTTGTTACAAAATAACACAATAAACAACCTATGGAACACCAGGATGGAAATCTCATTATCATTCTACTTTAACTAACATTTAATTTCTGGAGGTTGGGAGGGAAGGTAAATAAAATTGAGGAGTATCCCAAAGAAAGAGCAGGGAACTTAAAAAAGAAACATCAAGCAGTAAAGAAGATACTACTTCTGGCATGTGAGAAAACAGATTCCACCATACAAAAGCTCAGAGTGGTAGTCAGCTAAGTTTGACTCAGAGTAGACCTATTGAGATCAATGACCAAACTTGATCATGCTTATTAATTTCAATGGGTGTACTCTGAATAAACATAATAGGATACTACCCTCAAATTTGTTTGTTGTTTTTTTAAAAAAAACACAACTGCATGGGATTTCTGATTATAACTACAAAGGTACTTATCCAGACTCAAACTTTATGTTCAGCTGTAAAATACATGGTCACAGAATCACAGAATCGAAAGAGACCACAAGGGTCATCTAGTCCAAGCGCCTGCAGTGCAAGCCATATAAGTTTGCTACGCCTTTGGGGTGTAGCAGGGCATAAAAGAAGTGGGCAAAGTTATATGGTCAACAGTAGAGAGGTGTAAATTATGAGTTGATGCCCAATTTCAGAACTTGACAGAGAGCTGTGATGTGTGTGTGTGTGTGTGTGAGAGAGAGAGAGGGGGGGGCAGGGAGGGTGAGAGAGAAGATAGTAATCTACTTTAGCGTTTAATTCTGGGTCTGTGTGGGGGGGGGAATCTACCATCTTTTTATATTATTATTAAATAAATATAATTAAATATTAAATCAAACCACCTATTCAATACAACGGGGCATGATTATAAAAGGCACATGTCCTGCACTCATGCATGTCAAAAGAGGACAAGCATAAACATATGAATGTGGTGCGTGTTCAATTACACAGAGCATATTTAGCAATGTAAGAAACTGCATGTCAGCAAAAATGAGTAATCACACTATTCATCACACAGTAGGTCTTAAAGTTGAAATTTTCAAATGTGAAACAAAAGCACACATTGTACATTTTAATGCATTTTGTCCGTTAAACATAGAGAACATGTTTCATTGCGCACACACATGCCATGTGCACGCACATGTGGATTATTTTTTAAATGCTACCCCTCCTTTTTCTGCGTGTTTGTTTGCATAGCGTGCTATCACATATAAAGGACACACACCCTTCTTTGACTGAGAAATTCCTTTCCGCAGACAAGTATTCTATGAATTGCAATAAACACCCTAAAAAATTCTAAGCAGCTCATTATATACCCCTGTCTGCTTTTATGGCTCCAAGCCAGAATATAATGATGAGCCGTAACTTGTTAAGGACAACTAATTTTTTGTTCCTGGCTGTCTCAGGGGCTTCTCTCTTACTCACTCTCACTTTACTTCACTGTTGACATGTTTCTGTTAACTGGATGTCATCTGCCTGCCTTGATTTTATGCACAAGCAGTGGGATGCATTTTTTCGTGCAACAATTCTGCTTTGAGTTGCATTAGATTTGTCATTATTCCCTCATTTTCCCCTTGCACTTGTAACATTTCATCTATTCCTGCCTCCCCCCCTTTTTTTCCTCCTTTTTTTGAGCCACAGTGCACCCATATTATGGTTTATACATGATCTTGCTCCCTTTGAAGCCGGCAGATTTCAGAGCCAGCCCTCGTCAGGAGAAGTGCCTGATACCAATTTAGCAGGCTGAGGGCCCCGAGCTCCAACATCTCAATCTAAAGGGGGTCACAGAGTGGCACAAGCGAGTGTCAGCAAGTGCTGTTTAATTGCCAATCTTGGCTTCTCCATGGTGTTTAAAGTATAATGACCCATCACTTAATTCTGAGAAGTCCTGGCCCTGCTGCTGAATAGAATGAATATCAAAGGATGTGCTAGAACAGGGCAAGGAGCATACAATTCCTATAACTGCTGTAAGTATAATAGACTTGTACTTCTGTCGTCCCATTACCACAATAATGTATTTAATTTGCTGTATACCCTTTTTAACTAGATCCCTTTCATAAAGGCATATCTAAGGGATAGAACTGATCTCTCTCTCTCTCTCTCTCACTCACACATTCCTGCCCCTTGCAAAAAACTAAACAGATAAATAGAACAGCCTTAATAATAATTAAGATGAACTCAGACTCATTTTTATTGCCCTTTCTCAGCTTGCCAGTCTTTTTCACAAATGTGCAATATTAGCAGAAAGGTTAGCATTAGGGAATCTGGGTTTTAATTATATTTACGTGTGCAGAATTGGTTTGCTGCCTCGTTCTGCAACTGTATAAGAGAAGAGTTATCTGCTAGCCATGAAGTTTCCTTTAGCTTCTCCATGCCCTTTGCTTCCTCAAACCCTTCCTCCTCTGTAATCTAACCTTCACGTATTAACTGCAGGGATTGGAAAGGTCCAGGAGGGGGGGGGGAGTTGAGGGGGAAATGTGGAACCTTGCTATGTAATGCATGCTAATTTAATTATGTACCATCATCAAAATGGATTAGCTGTTTCAGCCCATCAGGAAAGTCTAAACCTCCACCGATTTAATTAACTAGACTGAAAATCAGATGAACAGAGAATAAAACTATCATTAGGAGCAATTAGTGATTACTTAAACATAGTGCTGCCAAGCAGTTTGTAAATAAAACTAGCAGCCCTTGGAAAATTAGCTGGAATTAATTGGAGGTTGGGGCAGAGAGAGAGAAAATATATACTTCTAAGCCCTTTAGAGGATCAGGTGGGTCTTTTTATGTCAACTAAAAATAATTTGAGCTTGGGAATGAGAAGAAAATGCAACACCCCTCCTTCTAAGTCTGCTTGCATAATAAAAGCAGACAGACCCTGTTCTTCATAGAAAACCCTGCTTGAAATGAGAGCCATGGAGAAAGCAAAACTTGCAACAGCATAATCTCTGGGCTTCTCAATATCATAGGGTTACAATGATGCCTCCCTCTAGTTAGTTAAGAATTAAAATAAACGCGGTTCAAAAGCACTGATCTTCAAGAACGGACATATGACAAGGCTTTGTCACTGGGAACAATGTGAGGGTTCCCCACACCCGCCCCAAACTAAAACAAAAATCATTGCATAACTAAATCAAGGCATTTTTTAGCAAAGCTTCACTGCCCTACAGAGAGTGATAAACAGAAGTAGCAGATGCCCCTACTTCTGGACCTGAGTATTTTGAACTCACCTTGACATGGAAGCATTGACAGTCAGAGCGGTTGGGTAGGGATGTCGGAATCCCCCTGTTGTGATTGGATAGACTGGTTGACCTTGCCTAGAAAGATGGGGGGAGGGGGAAAGAATGAGTAAAAAACCAGGGGTATGTATTTTTGGCATTTTAAATTTCTCTCTCTCTCCCTCTCTCTCTCTCTCTCTGCACAGTAAGCTTTATTCTCATTTGATCAGAACAAAAATCTTGGGGATTGTACAGCACGGATCAAAGGAAAGAAACACAGAACAATTTGAATGCCATAAATCTGATACGAATGGCTAATTAAATTTTATAACCTCTGCTTATGTCAATAGAGACCCTCTCCCCAAGCTGAAACTAGGTGTTTTGTTGTAATAATTAAAGGCGAAGTCTTGCTTGCTTTAATGGAGCCATCACACTAATTGAGGGCTACACATCCAAAGGAAAACAATAATGAATGTAAATTTATACCAAAATAAAGTACAGTGAATCAAAGGACTTCAGTTGCGCTTTGGGCCTCTTTCGGTATTTAGATCTCGGTGAGAAAACATTAAATTAACAGAGCTTAATTTGTAGCCTTTTGTCAGATTAACAAGTGTTGACAAGAGTTACCGGGGGAGAGTCCCCAAGAAGTATTGTGGGTAACCAATAGACAATCATACCTCATTACAATAATTAAAAAATACAGCAACATGCAAAACAGCATCCTCATGAAAGCTACACAACTTTTTCTGATTGAGGTTTGTCTGTGTTAGCTGGTCCTTTTCATCTGTCTTTCAAATGTATCCACTGAACGGGTAAGTTGTTATTTGGGGTGTGAGTTTTTCTTGAAAGGTTACTCTGCTAAATATACTCACAGCCCATCTTAATACAGAGCAGAGCCCATAAATGGTTAAAATAATAAAAATACCAGGTAGACAGTCCTATCTTTTAAAGGAATTTGATGTTTATGCTCTTTGGCTCTTCAGAAAGTTGCATGGGGTACAAAAAAAGTTATCTCTCTGAAGAAAAGAGAGGGGGGGGGGAATGATAGTTGTACATTAAAATGTCTTTGAAGTACCCAAACAGTTATTTATTATGAATTCTGTAAAATCTACTCCTGCATACAGAAGATATGTAGGTAGCCCATCAAATGACAAGACATTGTAAAAGTCCTACTACAATATAGAAACCAAAGGTATACTGGTGTTTGTTTGGATAACTGTCACAGGGAGAACAAGAGGCTAGAGATTCCATTTTCCTGCTATTATTTTCTTCCTTTGAAGTGTGAACTTTCTGAAGCATAATCAGGATGTGTTTTCTAAAACTGCAGTGTTTCCCCCCCTAGGGATCACACATTTTGTCTATAAAAATAAGAAATAGGCCCATAGGACCAGGAAAATGAATAGAATAGTGTACCACCTGTAAAAGGAACCACTGTTTCCATGTGGCCACATAAAAGGCCACAGGTTCCAATTCTGGAAGTATATTTGAGCTGTATATACTACAGTATAGTAGTATAGCAATAGTACTAGGCTGATATTTTTTCAGTGCAAACAACCTTTCTCCCATTTCAAAACCAAAAGGTTGTAGGGACATAGGGAACCTGCTACTTAGAATGGGTTACATAATAAAGGAAATTATTTGAAGCTAAAATTAGATTAATAAAGCCAAACAGAAGGAAAGGAGGGGACAACACCACAAATCAGGGGGGAAATATGAGAGAGAGAGAGAGAGAGAGAGAGAGAGAGAGAGAGAGAGAGAGAGAGTCTGGTTCAAGTTAATTCTCAAAATCATCAATATACTTTTTGCATCTAATGCATTTCGACTAATTGTCATATTCAGACTCATGTAAATCACACAATCTTATTACAGTGGCTTATTACAACTATTAATTTAGAGCACGTTGCAATCAATTGTTTCAACTAGTGCAGTGGAACAGGATTGTGCAAGATTTGCTTGTCCCTGAAGAAGACAAGTAGTCAAAATGTTTGAGGCAAATTACATGCCACAACACATTTTTTTAAAGCATTGTTTTAAGATTTTGCCTCTTTTAATTTGAATTTTCAGATTAGTAAGACCATTACTGCACCTATTCATTAGACATTGCAAAAATACTGCCTACACATTAGAACTCTTCTTCCCTCTTGTTGTTATTACACATTTTGAAATTAGGTTCTCCCCATGAGCTCCCTCCTGCAGTCGGTAGAGCCTGAGACTCTTTATCTCAGGATTGTGGGTTTGAGACCCATGTTGGGCAAAAGATTCCTGCATTGCAACAGGGTGGGGCTAGATGACCCTCATGGTCCCTTCCAACTCCACAATTCTATGATCCTATGATTCACTTAGCTCCCTCCCAATTTTTAAGCCATGTTCCAGCCCATTAAAAAATATTATCCCAAACCTTGGAAACAAGAATTAAAGGGGAATGCAAATGTAATGCAATTACACAAAGCTCAATAGTAGTGCACTATAAAATAATAGGGTATCAGCAAGGGATGTTTCTGAAACAGCAACCCTACAAATTATACTATCCAGAATGTTTTCACCCCACCCTTTCAGAACAAATGTTTGACATTTATGATCCATGGGTCACCCTCTGATGTCAGGACACATGAAATGATGCCCTCATGCTCTGTTCTTATTTAACACGCAATGACCCGTCACTTTAGTTCATTTAATCTTTATTGAGCAAAAGTTATTGATTTGCCCATGCCATAAACTGGCAGCTGGCAAGCATGCTGAACTCAACGTATGCATTTCAGGCAAAGCAAATAAGCACAATTATCCTTCCCCCCCCACTCCCCCCCACACATATGTACAAAAATGAAAAATAAAAAATAAAATGAAAAAAATGGAACTCCTTACTGTGGTACTAACCATCCTAGCGGATGGGGGATTTGCCCTACAGTGCCCGGTGATAGTGGATAATAAGGAGATATATCTGGAGGGTGCGGAGGCCGTGGAATTCCTAGGGAAGAGGAAAAGGAAGCATCATGAAAGTGGGTCAGGGCAGGGGGAAAAGGGGGATTAAAAAAGAAAAGAAAAAGGAGGCAGGAAAGTCATACAAATTTCTAGACCATGAGTACCACACTTTCTGCCTTTCATAACTCTACTTCCTATTCTCAAGACATGGCCTGCTGCCTTCACCTATCGTCCCCAGAGCGTCCTACTTAGTACAGTAAGCAAATGAGACTCAGCTAGAGAAGTAGGACATTTGATCTGTTTTCTTCCCCACAGTCAAAGACCGTGCAGGACTTTGTTCTCCCAAAGTCTTAAAAGGATGGAGGCTCCCACCTTGCTTTCATTTTGTACCATCATGTGTGTCGCCCCTTTTGTGCAGACACCTTCAGGTCACTCAAAAAGGTACTTTCTAAAATAAACCATTTTATATGGCTGCAGTGCCTTTCTGTTTCCAGAAGGTTCCTGTTACGAGCTTATATAAGCCACATTTGTTCTAATTTTGATTTGGATTAGTGTTTCCACATGAAACATTAAAACCTTGATGGTAAAGGGAAGTTTGGGGGCGGGGATGGAGTGCTGAGAAAATGAAACAAAACAATGAACTTATATCTGAGGAGTTGAGGGGAAGTAGTCATCCATTTAATTAATGTACATTATTAGCCCTTAGCTATTTTAATTACTCTTTTCCTATGGATCACATTCTGTTTCTGTACAAAACAGTAAAGTTTTTCACTGTTCCAAAATACATTTAGAGAATAGAAAGGCAAATTTAACTTCATTAATGACTAAAATACTAAATCTAGAAACAAATCCTTGGATTAACAAAGAATACTACATTTTCCAAGCACAAGTAACCATACTGTATTGTACATACAAGAGAAATATGTATGAAAGGTTACATTAATCCACATTATTCTAGGTAGAAAAGGCATCCTCAGTTGCAAAGGTTTGGGCATACACAGTGCTTCTGATTTCATTTAAGTGATCAGTGGTGGTCCATAGGGTTGTCTGCTCCCTCCACTTATGCATGCAAATCCTCCCTTGATGGCCATAAGCATAGTTAAAGATTATGCTATAAAGCTATCATGAAAGCAACCCTAGTTAGTATTAGCCCTGGTTAGAATCAGTGCACACTAATCCTTAACCATGGTTAAAGCCAAAGGAAGTAGGGAATTGAATTGTGAGAGAGAAGCTAGGAAGTGAGCGATTCTTAAGCCCTTTTAGCCATCGGGAGCACTGTGTCTCCACCCAAGTGATGGTTGTAATCAGTGTTTTTTTCTGGGGGGGACACATACCCCTAAACATTTTGTGAATCTAACTTTGGCCTCACTGAGGGGCAGTATTTCAATATGAGTAGGAAAATGAGAGTACCCCTAAACATATTTTTTTTAGGAAAAAAAGCACTGGTTGTAATATATACAGCTATATGTGATAACTGTCCAAATCATGAGTGGTTTGGATTGTTTTGGTGTGGATGCAGAAGAACCAGTTTCAAATGCCTCCCAGGCATAAACAAACTCAAGTTTCACACTGAGTGTAAACTCAAGAGGGAGCTTCAGCAAATCCTGGCTCTTGGTGATAGTATGTTCATAAACATTTATCTTTTCAGATAAAATGAGTGTAAAGGATGAGATCCTTGAAACACTTTGTTTGGAACTATCCCGAGAGTTCTGCCCAGGAATAAATAGATCATAATTTGCAGTGCTTGCATGTTCAAACTTCTCAGGTGAGTAGAAGTTACATGTTTGGGTACCTCAAGAGAACCCAGCTCTTCAAAATATAGCAAATGTAGAATTAAGAACAGAAGCATTAAAATGAAGAGGCACTGTATTCACAGCTAAAAAAACGATTTTTTTAAAAGACACTCAGGGAGCTTTTAATCTCTAAATTAAATCTTCCTGTGTGACATTTTCGGGCAGACACAGCTTTTTCTCCATTACAAAATCCAAACAGATTAACTGGGCTTTAACCATACAGTGAGCTGTTTGCACACTTGAAAGAATGTTCGCAGAAGAAAAGTAAACAGTCTATGGACGTTAATCATATGTTTTACGATAACCATTTAGAAACCATTCCCTGTACTCCCATTATTTAAATGGGTGTCAGACTATGCTGCCATGCACTTGCAATACAGAGATGGCTGGATGAAGATCCTTTTAAACCTATGCAATATTAGCATTAAACGCAATCCAAAGGAAGCCCAATTGTGGCATATGGGAATAAAAGAAACATTGATTCATTCATTCATAGACTGAGTTTGGATGCATTATCTAAATATGTTAATCACAACTACAGCAATTCTTTGACAAGCTCTAACACGTATTCACGGTTTCAAATTTACTTTTTAATTAACTTGCAAGGATTTGGACTAACTGAAAAAAATGCCCTCTGAGGACTCTATGCAGTCTACAGAACAAAGACTGACACTATTACATCCTCTAGGGCAACAGGCTAACAAGATATATATTTTTAGTTAACAAAATAACTAAAATCTAGTCTTGTAACACTAATAAATCTAAGCAGGGTTGAGAGAGGGCCATGTGTCCACAATAATCAATTTGGACTGGAGTAAAATTTACCAGAATGTAGCAGTGGGATTAAAAATTACAAGAGAGCATTTGAACCTGTGACACTGGCAGACAAAAAGATCACTTAACACGATTATGCATTTTATTCATTGGCTAAAATCAGCAGCAAGCCACATATATAACTTGATGAAGTCAACAGAATGGCCTCAAGAATGTGGTTTTATAACTACACATAGGATTTAGATTTCATTTTTAAAAAACAGAATTGTTAAAAGCTAAGGTAAAAAACTGATTTTATCCAGGAAAAGAGCTAAAAAAAGTATTATAGAACCTTTAAATACTATAATATAAAAAGTAGTAGGAAATGACTCTGAAATTAAGAAGATCAAATAAACTATTCAAAAAGCAGGGCAATCTCCATTTATCCTCTTTTTAGGAAATGTTCTTTATCATACATCTAAAGTAATTTATGATATAAACCTTTAGTCAAAATAGCACCTCCAACATCAGTTATTTGGAACAGTGAATGCCTGAATAGCATTACAGACTGCTGCACTATTAGAATTTAACAATGGGGACAACGTGTCATTTCAGTTTCTAGATTTTGATCAACGTATTCCATCATACGCATAGATGTTAGAAATTGAACACACTGTTGTTATTAAAATGCGACTGAGGGCCTAAATGACAGGAGACAGCAGCCTGAGATCAATTACACAGTCAATATGTTCATTTTATTTATTTTTGGGTAATCTGCAGACAATTAGCTTTAATATAATTACTCCTAAGTGAATATTTTGCGTGTCCCCCCACCCCCAAAATGATCTAACTCTGTGATATTTCAGGAAGCTTCCTCCCCGCAAAGCCTAGCTCCTCATCAAACATTGTTCACCCTACCTGTTTTCGGATCTACGTCGGCTTGTAAGTGTGGAGGAGGATTCCCTGGTGTGAAGTGCTCATTGCTGTACGTAATAAGCGGCGTGAGAGGATGTACATGGTGTGGGTGCTGCACAACTGGGACTTTGTTAGACTGTGAAAAAAGAAAATGGAGAGTATGAGGGAAATGCTGTGTTAAGAATGCTACATAGCGCAAACATTAAGAAAGCAGTTTAGAAACACACACACACATACTCTGCTATAAAACTAGGCGTAAGACATTTGTACACAGTAAGAGTGTCATCAAAATAGCCTCAGTCCCCCACCCCCCACATTTTCACACAAGCTTATTAGTTCCTGCTTTTCCTAATGATCTGGTTCTCAAACTGTTTGCTAAAGATGTCGGTCAAGATAAGCTCATTGTTATTAAGGACCACCCTTTGGCTTGCAAAAGCCTGACCTGTAAAATGAAACTTCTTTAATCCCATTCACTGTATTGTCCCAGCACCCATTCCTGGTGACCTTGTAACCCATCTGTATGGTTTTCAGGACCTACAGACAGGCCACCCACCAATTTGGGAGGGGGGGCTGCCCTTATGGCACAGAAAGTAGTATATTGTGTTTGTTTGTTTTACTGTGCTTAGACAAAGGCAGGATGCATTGTGGTCTTGTAAGGGGCTTTAGCATCCTGAAATAAGGAAGCCTAAGGGAGCAATTGATTGTTGATTGTTATCGGGTATAGGAGTTAAAAGGATCACTTTCACCAATATGTACCTGCTAATAATGCAACGTTCAAACTGCTGAGACACAGCTCTCACCCACAGTCAGATGTGTGCATGCTGCAGAGTTCATTCCAGGACACACAGATCTAGCCAAAAGTGAGACCCATGTGTCGGCAGTTCAAAAGTTATATTAGCAGGCATGCACAAGCCAGAGCCAATTGTGCATCTGCTACACCCTGTAATAAGTTGCCATTCCCATTGGATCTTGTATGTTCTAAAATAAAAGGCAAATCTTTATAAGAAGGAAACGTGGAGGCCTGGCAATTCAAATTTCACCCCCAATTTTCCCTTCATGCCTTTTGAGAACAGGTAGTTCTATTATTTCCTTATAGAGAAACTATTTACATCCTCTTCTTTCATCAGAAGGACCAACTTCTGTTTTGCTTTGTTTAAAACTCTTTCCATATGAACCGGAGAACGGGACAAATCGTTTTGCAGTACTTAGACCATTAAATAGAAAAGAACAACTGGTCACTGCTCTGTAGTAAAAGAGATTGAGACTGCAATCCTCTACACATTTTCTTGAGGGTAAGACCCTTTGAATTCAGTGGAGCTTACTTTTGAATAGCTATGTATGAAACTGTGCAGCAATGTTCAGTTCGAAGTACACTAATAAGCAGCTTCTTAACAATGAATGTAAGTACACTAAGTTTTAGGGAGAAAAATGGCACGGTTATAAACAGATGCTTAAAGACATGAGGGCACATTTTTTCTGTTATGATTTCAAGACAATGTAAAGCTATTATTTATTTTTAAAAATAATGCAAACAGAATGCAACAATATATTTTTTTAAGTGCTACAGTTTGTATGATACTGTAAGTTACCTTCACAAGATCACCAAGGAAAAATTAAGATGAAACAAGCAAAGCAAAGAACCATTTCACTGTGAGTAATCCAATTCTCTCTCTCTCTCTCTCTCTCTCTCACACACACACACACACACACACACAGAGAGAGAGAGAGAGAGAGAGAGAGAGAGAGAGAGAGAGAGACTTATTCCCTATAGAGGATTTACAATAAAATCCTACAACAGGGACATTTAACCAGATTAGGTAGCAGCAAAGATAAAGAGGCTAGTATTAGATGACAAATGGATTAGAGTCAACTTTCATTTTCAAATGTGTCTTCATTTTCTTTTATTACTTTAAGTAAGGAACAATTTGCATTAACATCAAGTAAAAGGAATTACATTAAAAGACCGAGGGACAGTGCAGTGGTGCTCTCGAGCGCCACCTCAGTCCAGCACCTGTCAGTCTTTGCTATTATCCTCAGACTAGATTAGCAGCATCCATTGTCAAAAGGGTATGGATATTTTCAATGGAGACCATGAAACCTAGAATGTGTTCATTAAAAAACAATACGTATGTGTTTTGTTGATCTTTTCAAAGCACTTTTCAAAATACTGTATCATTCATGTTTGTTTTTGCAATAAGATTAACAAAAGCTTTGAACTGGTTAAAATTAAGTTAAAACTTCAGCACAGCTATGGAGTGAGTGAGGTCTGCTTAATGCTACAGGAGATACTACTGAAAACAATCTATCTGGGAGGCTGCAATCCTAGGCACACTTAGTAGGGACTGAGTTCCAATGATCACAGGGAGACTTGCTTCTCAGTAAACATTCAGAGGAACACACAGCATGCATTCATGGGAAAGTCATGCTTTCTTGGCCTGATTTTCCCTCCTGTACAATGGGAATAAATACAACTTAACTCACTATTTTATGAAGACCATGCATTTACTGCCTATTGTTCTTATTTGTTGTTTTATGCTAACTCATTTTTAGAAGAATTTCGTTATTTTACGGCTTTTATTTCGCAAGCTATTTCAGAAGCACAAATGAATGTCTAAAAAGTGGTATTTGAATGAAGCAAATGGGTAGGTATGTGTAGAAGGGTTTCTAACAGGCTACAAGGTGTGGTGGTTCGCCCATCTTGTTCTGTGTGGAATTGTTCTAAATTGTTCTAAATGGGTGATGCAGTCAAGCATTTTAGTATCTTTCATCCTTCCATGAATGCATCTTGCATTTTTATATCTGCAAACTGTAAACTGTGACATAATTAAAAAGAATGCACACACCAAAATGTTAGAGGAAAGTCACACTAGAGAAGAAGAAAATCCTTTGGGATTTGTTCTATCTCTTCAACAAGCTTTGTTGCTACACACACACACACACACACACACACACACACACATTGCCTCCACACTTCCTTTCCCTTTTTTCAGACAAATTGTATGCTTGCAGTTTTTACAGTGTAAGTATGTCAGAGTGTACTCAGTCATGTAGCTTTTAAACTCCTCAATGAACCATCAGTCAAATGTATCACATGGATTCTATGTAGAATTCTCAGATTCCATGTACTGTACAGCAGAATCCAGTTCACAGATCACACCTCCATAGCTTCCATGAGAAAGCATGGCATATAATCTGGCATGACCAGCCAAAATATATGACATGGAACATCTTTTCACTTTGTGTGTATAGTTTGGACCACAACATACTAAGCCAGATGTGACAAACCTATGAAAACTTTGGGAATGGTTGACGCATTTCATTAATAACATGCACTGCCTTAACAGCATCCATGGTCTACATGCCTGCTTCGGCATTAGACCTGCTCAGATACAGAAGTAAAATCATGATGCCAGCTTCTGGTGTTCCAAAGTTCATGAAATGTTACATACGACATGGTAAAATGCAAGAGCAGCTGATGGGGAGGGCAGCCTGTGGACCTGGCTTCCTGGTACTGGTTTCACTGAACTTACCAGGCCAGGGCAGGAGCAGGGCATGGCAGCAGTGAGTTTGGGATGGTGACAGAGCACCAATGGAACCCTCCCACCAGAGCACCCCCACCTCGCCCCTCTAAGTGGCAGTAACACCAGTGGCAGGAGGTCAAGTCTGCAATACTGCCTGTCCCTGCCTGCCATAAGGAGAGAATGTACAATTTCCAAAGAAAGAGTTTAGAGAATAATTTGGTAAATCTTTACCTCTTTTATTGAAATAGTTGCCCAGAAGCTAATGTTCTTATGAGTGAGCACTTAGCTCCAATCCTCACTGTTCCTATAAATGTTTAGCATAAGCGATGCTGACTTTTCTTCACCACATCAAGAAATTTATGCTAGAATTCGAGTCTGAGGCACCTTCATAGCAGGTCTTCTGAGTTATCATCAGACTTGTAATAACTGCTTTGTGAAGGAGGGAAGCCTTTGTTTTCCTATTTCACTCCTGCTATTCTGAGTCCTGCCATGCCACGTTCAATGCCTGGAACGGCCTCACCTGGTTATTAGGGGAGTTTATTCCTGAAGGTTCTGTAGGTTACTCCCTTGTCACATCAAACACTCATTTGCCCTTCACGTACTGTCAAGCCTTCTTTTCCTGCTTTGTCCACCAGGTCTGATACCAGTGATCAGATCTCTGAATAAGCGCTCGGCACGCTGTTGGTTTTAAAGCAGAAGTGAAGCAGAACAACAGCATGGTGGTGATGGTTGTTGAATTTGCAAATTTGTACAGAAGGCAGTTTACACAAAACTGACACAGTACAAAATAAGATTTAAAAAGCAACCTAAAAACAAAATGCACTAACAAACAAACCCAACAGCAGTTAAAAGCAGCAGTTTAAAAAAGCAAGTCACACAACAGAAGACTGGGAGTCATGAGTCTGCAGTCTCTTCCACTCCAGTTTCTCCTACCAACACTCGGTTCAAAACTAGGGTCTGGGGCTGTTTCCACAGTTAAGAGGGAAACGCACCACCAGTAAGTGTGCTGATACATAGTGCTGACCACACATGGTTAAAACTAATCCATGTCGATCTATCTATATATGCATATTTCTATAGAAATGAAGCTCTCCCTTTGTTTGGTGGCCACAATTTAGTTTTGTCGCGGATAGAAGAGTAAGGTGAAGACAATCACTGAAGAAGGAAGCATTGGGAGAGGAAAGCTATGCTCGGTTTAAAGATATCCAATAATTTGCAAGAGGAAGGTACAAACAATTCTGGAAGCACTTCTGGTTGTGTAACAAACAAGGTTGGCTTTAAAAGTAGGATTATGGAATTATATTAAATAAGCTTTCACTGGGGGGGGGGGAGTAGAGGCACAGGGGGAGACTATTAGCAATGTGAGTGATGAGAAGAAGATTAATCCTGCATTTGCTTCTCTCTTTGAAGTATACAGGGGGTTTGCCTGACTAAAAAGAGCAGTCTCTAGCACTATCCAATGGCTATAAAAGGTAAGTCACAGAAATTAGATAAAAAGCACTATTAGATCATCTTAGCCCATCCCGTCTTCCAGATACTGTATGTGATTGTCCCCTGGAGTATATTTTCCTCTTACTTTGTTCATGCTTATTTTATAATAAAAGCTAATAGCTATTCTGAGAAAATTGAAGTTCTTTGGAAACAGCATCTCTTTTTTTATGCCATTAATGGCTATCACAGCAGTTCTTATTTTTTAAGTTAGTTATCCTAGTAGACGGAATTTAGAATAAATGCAAACGTAAATATAAAATGAGAGAATAAGGAAGTAAGGCACTCCTTTTGTTTTAAACTTGCTAATTAATGTTCTGGACTGAAAAGGCAAATCAAAATACAAACAACAGGAAAAGTTTGTTTTCCCCCCTTGATTGCCTATGCCTGAAGCAAAGCAAATTAAATTGCACTCATGGAATCAACAATGAAGTTACCAAACAGGAATTAGGGATGGTTTAGCACATGTATAAACAACGATAACATAAACCATAGAGCTGAGTTTCCCATTAGAAATGTAAGCTGAACTGTAGTTGAAAGAACAGCTGTGTTGTGAGTAAATTCCTATACATTTCCCTCAATGCATGAGGTGGAGAAAAACCAGGGCATTACACATGCAGGGATACCGCTAGTAAAATTAAAGGTAATTGCACACAACAGCAATAATTACATATACAGCCCAATGCACTACCTTCTTATATGCCAAATGCTCAAGGGTACAGAAAGCTTTCAATAGGAACAAATCAGATCCATGGCATAGTTCATGAAGGTCACAACCCTGGGAAAGAACCGCTCACCTTCCAAGCATACTTAAAGCATAAACTTCTGTTAGCTTGCACAGCATGTCCTGTTAGCATCCTCCTGTCTACACTGTTCACATTTTGGATTGTGGTAAATTTAATATTGAATAGGCACTTTGCCCCAGACCTCTATGGCTCTAATTCTTCCTCTAGGATTCATATTCTAAGAGAAATGGAATCTCGCAACTCACCTCTAAACCTATGAATCACCACCACATATTGAAAACAAATGGAACTATAGCTTTACCTGCCTTCCCCTCCCCATCAATATTCCCTTAGTGCTTTATTTTTCTACACAATAAAAACTGGACTTGTAACTTAAAACTGCCTTTAAAAGCCTAATACACTAAAGCAAAAGAGAAGTCGTTTTGTAGGCCTTTTCTGTTAATCTTTGAGAGATTGCATTAAAGCACAGTCATCTTGGATTACTAAACCCTTCCAAGGACAGCTCTGTGCACCAGCAAATTGTGCCATTCACAACACATTTACATTTAAGAACTGGTATTCTATACTCTTTCCAGATGCTCTTCTTAAAACTCTGCACCATACTTATGGCAGTCAGTAAAATATCATTATGAGGTAACACGCTTACTACTAGAAAGATCCACTAATTTTTATTCTCAAGACTGAAATGCATAAATTTAATCTCATTTATCTTCACTAACCAATGAACGTTTTCTGGACTTTACAAATCTACAAAAAGCAATGTGCAACATGTGGTGTTGTTATTATTATTATACAACATCAGCCACACTGAACATGGATTTCTCTCTTGTTTTGAGACACCATAACTAACTAATTTCACAGGAAGAGCGCCTGAGTTTTGCGCTATTTCTAAATTTTATTTTTACCAACCTGTCTGCTATAACCTGGTTGATCCTTGCAGTCATAATTGGTTCCCAATGCCATATTTACAACAGAAATGTGTGTCTTTAATGTGCATTATTAATTTGAACAAAATAAGATTGTAAACCTTTTGAAACATGGAGCAGTATATAAATTACCTAAATAAACAAATACAACAGAATAAGAAAACAAAAATGTCACATTTTAGAGAATTCTGACATATTTAAAAGACAATGAATACAAACAAACTCTTCATCTTTCCCCCTTCCAAGTGCTGGACATGTTCTTGTGCGGAATGAGACCATTCTGTTTATCTACGCAACATGCACTTTATTGAAATAAAGAATGCTTTCACACCTGACTAAGCATTTTCTTCAGAAATCTAATTCTCCTTAGCCTATTATTGTTGATACAGTGCTCTGAACCCTTTCAAAGTTTAGTGTAGCTCATTTCTACCTAAGGTCTTGCCCTGTGCTCGCTCCCTATTGTAACTGAAGACAAGGCCTCCATTGATAACCATGGCTCCCTACACTAAAAAAAAGGGCTCATTTTCTTCCTTCACACAAATGACAACAGAAGCGCTGACAACCATGTGCTGGGACAATACTCCCCTAGCTTGAGTCTGACAAAAAGCAAACCACACACACACACACACACACACACACCTTCAAGGAGTAGCGTAGGCACAGCATATTTCTACTTCCCTTCTGTTTTTCTCTTAGCAGCTATTTCCTGGTTAGAGGACTGCTACTATCAAAAAGGGCCTACCTTCCAGTCCCCATAATTCGGTAAATTGTTTAAATAAAACAATGCTGGCTTCTTGCTCTAAAATATGGGACAGCTAATTTAAACAAAGTCTGGGGGCAATGTTCACTGATATCCCATGTCCCCTGCCTCACTTCTACATGACACTTTTATACACTCTTTCTTATAGAAAGATTGCAAGACATACCCACGTAATTTAATAACAAAGACACATTAAGGATACAATCCTAAGAATACCTACCAGGAAACAAGTTCCAACAAACTCAGGGCGACTTGCTTCCAAGTAAACATGGCTAGGATCGGTCTGTAACTGAAATCATTAGGATTTTACCACTTGCTTAGGAGAAAGAAAGCTATACATAGTACCTCAAACAATAAGATTCAAACAAATGCATTTTTTTAAAAAAATAAGATTGCTGTTATTTTAATGCTACTTTTGATGGACAGAAAACCAACCGTGTTTCATAATAGCATGTGACATAGCCCAGAATGTACAGGTAATAAATGTGATAATATACATGAAATATTCTTTTACAGGGAGGTTTTATTTTATTTTATTTTATTTTGGGGTGAGTTCTAAATAGAAGATTTTGGGAACAATCAATATCATGTCAGTCAGTGTTAGCTTTTAAAAGTTCTGCAAAAAAAACCCCTACAAGTTAATGCATTAAACATAGTTTTCTTTATGAAGTGACAACAATGCTTAGTTTTTTATTACTTGAAACAATTTAGCAGCCTGTTAAATAACTAGCCATTTAAAAATTGTGGCCTACATAATTCCAGGTTAGTTTTACCAGCATTATAAAAGGATTAAAGATTGAAACCCACAGGTGTATGCCTAATACAAGAACTTGTGATGGAAAAACGGACAGCCATCACAATCTGCCCCCTCCCCACCTACCAAATTCTTCATGGAAACTTTGAAACAAGCACTAATTTCATTCTACTTTATATTTAAACTCATCTACATAATTTGTTTTAGGTTGTTATACAATGAGATATAATACGGAGAAAGATCAAGAGCCCAGTGACATGATTTTTCTCCAAAGTGATGCTCGGAAGTACATGCATCAACCTCTTCTAAAACAGAGAAACAAATGTAACCAATCACAAAACAAGTAACAATACACACACGCAAAAAAAAAGCATATAGCTGTGCTTTGGAATTCAGGGATAATGTAAAGATAGAATGAGGTCGTGCTGTTTTGTTCCAAATGTATTTAGAGGAAAGATTGGCTTCCTCTTTGATATGAATCACTATCAATGTAAAAATTATCTAAATGCTTTAGTTTTTGATTTCCAGAACGGGGGGGGGGGGGGGGGCTGTGCCAATTCATGCACTTGTTTATGCAGGTCTCTATTATGTGCAGACAAAACAATACCACACACACACAAACTCGGCCCAGGCAAGGGAAAACATGATATTTATATACAATAGAAAAGCTATTCAGAACCAAAGTCTACATGTATTTGAGGATGAAGAGATGGTTTGGATAGAGTGAAATGAGAGAAAACTATATTAACTGCAATTCATATGTATGTAGTTTTTATCGCAACAGTAAAACAGCATTAAAAAAATAAAATTCAATATTATAAATTCTCCAAAATCCTATATAAATGCATTTCATTATTACATAGTCTATAAAATATCATTTTTATTAACTTATGTGCGTTATGTAACAGTTTAATATCCACAACTATAAAGACATAGAGAGACGTTAAGCCAAACTTTCGTCTTTGAGAATCTTTTAGTTCACAAAATATTTAAACACACACACACACACACACACACACGACAGGATCACTGAAAACGGAAAGATAAAAATGATATATAATAGCATTTCAACCATTTTTTGAAGACATTAGATAGGGAAGGCTATCTATAACGAGGCCTAAACCTCAATGAGACAGAGCTTGGTTATTGCAGCATAGCAAGCAAGGTATGTTCTGCATCCCCTTAGATGCGTCCTGAAAACCCCCCGAATGCATTTTTCTTGTCACAAGCACTGAAGTATATGTATCTTTTCAACTAACATCTTTTGGATATTTTTGCAATGCAAATAATTACTATAACAACCTGTTGTCTCTTCTATGTTCCTAATAGAGTAAATGAACATTGTCCTCACTGAATCCAATTTATTTCCACATGGAACCCAGAACCATTCGAAAGAGCACATGTTTAACAAATCTACTCAAATTAACACCTCGGGTGAAGGTGGGTGGGACATTTAAACAAATAATATGTAAGGTTAAGACTGTAGAAAATTTAAATACAACATTATGATATTATTATTTTTTTAAAAAACCCTCCACTGTGGAAATCAGGCACTTAAAATCAGCAGAACTTACTTTACTAATGTAAATACTTATGTCTGTCAAGCAGAAATAAGGCTTGGCTTCCAAAGCAGAGAATAACTAAGAGATGAAATACCTGCACAATCAAATAAAATTCTGAAGCAAACATAACAAATAAATAAAAAGGGAATGTTTTGTTATGCTACATACACCTATCACAGTACATATACAAAAAAATACATGCACGCATACACACTTGCTTTTGTTGGCAAGCTCCACTCAACAGCTTTAGCTCAATAAATACAACCAGCTGTATATTATGAAATGGCCTTTTCCCTATGACAACACTCCACAACGAAAAAGAGAACTGCTCTCCAAGAAGAAGAAAGGGCAAAAGAAAAATCCCCTCCAACAATTATTTTTTAATTGTTCCATGCCTTTGCATGTGATGAAAAGGACATGCATGCTTTGTGTTGTTTTGTAACTATTACAGTATGTTAAGAACTGTCACTGACAAGTCATTCTACCCCCTCCCCTAAACTGACTCGCACTGTATTTTTTTTTAAGTATTGAACAAAGGTCACAGCTTGAATTGACTGTTCTATCTTCCTTTTAAAAAATGCTTCCACAGACACGAATAAAAACAAGTCACACAACTAGTTCAATGGTCAAGATGCGCTCTCTCTCTCTCTCTCTCTCTCTCTCTCTCTCACACACACACACACACACACTCTTAAACACAAATGCTACTCACCCAGCAATTCAAATTGAGATGCCAACAGCCAAACTGCTGAAACAGAGAGAACCCAGAGGCGAGTGCTCCTCCTTTACCACTCAAATCTTCCATTCCCACTAAAATTGCATCCCTCGGGTACATAACGGCTTTGTCTTTCCCACTCTTAATCTCATAAACTTTTTTCCCCCTTCACTGTCTAGATGCCAATTGTACTAGCTTTGTATTATTTCCCTTGCAGCTTTTCACTTTCTGTCTCCCTCCCATCCCCCGCCTGCGTTTTTTCACTTAAAGTACAGTCCTAAAAGATCAAGATGTTTCTAGATTTGAGGCCTGGCGTTCCCTGAATGCTCCGCATCCATCGTGACATCGGATGTCGGCTGTGAGGGAAGGTGTCTTATTTTCTAAGATTGTCTCTGCTGCGGATTTCGAAACTTGAAATAATCACTTCTGTTTTCTAATACGCAAATTCTCTTACTGTCAAACACACACACCCCCAACCGCCCCTCCGTTTGCTTGCTAAGGATAGCTAAAGAAGCAGTTACCTTGGAAATAAATGACAACACTACTACGATTCAGATAGTTACAGGTAATGCTATGCGTAGTGAGGCGACAACGGATAGCCATGAGGGAACAGGAGCACCTAAGTGTAACAAGCAGTCACTGTCAGATCCCACCAAACAAATTTCTTCAGGAGAGACCTGCAGGAAGCAGTTGATTTTGTTATCATTTTGACACATTAGTAATCACTCTCCTTCGCCCCCAACTTTTACCAATATTAAATTTTTTGGTTCTTGGTTTAAACAGGTTGGTTCACATGAAAACAGTATAAGAAATGCTCATCAAGTTTTCTACAGTCTCACTGTCTAAGGTATTTTGCTACAGCAAGCTTATTTTGGTTTCTGTAAGCACGAGCTTAAAACAGAGACCAGATTCCTCCGTGAACTGAAAAATTGTGTCGTTTTTTCATGTACATTCATAAGTTATCCATCCTTTGTGATAGGTATTGACGTAAGAAACAAAAATCGCAAAGGCAGCTCTGGTTTTTATGGGGGAATGCGGTCAAACCTATAGTGGCTACCTCTCAAAATACCTGACAAGAAAGCGCCAGTAATATGGTTAAGCACGATGGATAGGTAAAACTATCTGTGGTTCAGTATCATTAGTAGTTCAGTGTGTAAGTTAATTTTATCAGAGCAAAAAAGTTTCTGAATTGTCCAAAACCCACAAAGAATTTATACTCAACTGGAGGAGATGTGAAGAAGACCTCTCATAAACCCTTATACCTTTATATATAGTAATATAACCTACACAGTGATTTTTAAGACAGTTTCAAAACTTATGCTGCGCTAATCACTACAGAAGTCACTGCAATGTTGTCCTGCTGTATTAATTACTATCGTTGCTATTATTACTTTACAGGTGTACAGACTGATCTGCAATTCAGAAGTGGAGACAAAACCTTAAGAATCTGGAGACACTCGCCAGAATGTAATCAACGGAGACAGAAAGTTCTTCTGTTTGCTTTTCTTACCACCATCCTTTTCCGCACTTATCTGGCCTTTGCACGTAAAGTGTCAGCCAGCAACCGTTAAGGCCCTTAATACCAAAACAAAACCCTGCAATTTCCCTTTACATGGCAATAACAAAAGCAATGAGGCTCCAGTTTGACAAGTAAAAAGCTCCAACAACACGGCAACTAATTGCCTTCCCTCCCTCTATTCACAGCGGCCACCACACTCCAGCGGCTGCTTTTGTCCCACGTGCAATTTCTTAAGTAAACTGCAAGTTCTCTGGCTGGTGATGGACAGTTCCCAATCATTTAGCAACAATAACTTATAAAGTGCAGCAAATAGGATGGGCAGCTTTTAAACTGAGGCTTTCCTTTTCTTGGATATCCCAAAAACAGGAGGCAGAGGGAAGCAACATCGAGGGGGGGGGGGTGAGGAAGCACAACAGTATAATGCCTAGTATTCTTTTCTTTACTTCTTTCCTATAAGCAATGCATGCACCTACCAAGTTTCTTCAAAAAATAGTTTCTCAGCAGAACTGATCTGAAAGCATTGCAGAGAGCAGTCATCTAGTTAACGTCCTGCAATTAAAATTTCCAAAAATATTTGGGTTTGCGGGTGCGGGGGGTGTTGAAGTGTCAGAGAAGTAAGCACAGTCTAAGAACAGAAACCCAACTAATTAAGAAACAAAATATCTGAAAGTTAGCAAAATAAGCTGTGATAGTACCTCTGTGGAGGGATAGAACCCTCCTCTTGTTGCAATGAAGTTGC